GTGACATTCAAATCACCTTACAAAATGTCAGTCACCACTCCACTTTAAAATCCCGGAAGTGACCTTAACAATCCGTCAAAACGCGCTGATGATTGGTGATGCTCAGAGGGGAGACTGCTGATGAAAGTCAAAATGGCAAGTAGCAGAGAGGTACTTCTGTGGTCAGGGTCACCAGCGTGTCTCGCTAAATACAGCGATGACGATTACCTCACATACGTGCATATAATCATACCACTGAATTCATTAATAGAAAGAGTGATTAATGGTGATCAACTAATGGCGCATAATCACTCCCACGAAATGATGACGAATCGAGTAGATAAGGAGAAATTTATACGATCTAATGTTTTGTTGACCCTTGGTTCGATGGCTGAAGGAGAGGTAGTGATAAAGCAGAACAGAGTATTGGGATATCAAACTCTGTTCTGCTTTTATCATCGGATAAAACCAACCCCAATCCCACCCCCCAGTCCACTGCCGGCGCCACGGTGTCGTTGACTTGCTAACCCACTTCCTGTGAATGTCCTCCACGTTTTATACTTTCATCCGCTTTTTTTCTTTGTTCTCTTCTCTCCCTGTTGCCTGAATAGAGGCATCACCCAGGGGAAATTTAAGTGGGGGTCTAGGGGTGAGGGATGAAACTGACTATTTTCAATAGTCAATAACTCGAGATCGTCAGAGTGAACGTGAACGATTTTTGCTTCCGAATGGAAGCTTTGTAATCGTTGATTTTTACGATCTTCAAGTTCTGTCTGGAAATGATATAAAGTGTCATGAAACGTGAAAATATGATGTTTGTAGAAAATGTGTATGTATGTCCGGATGTGTGTGCGAATTCTTCGGAAAATTTCTGTGCATCTTCACAGAAAAAGGACTACAGTTTAAGCTAAAAATCTAAATCATAACGATCATCAAAGCTAGAAAATAAAAAACCGAAAAACAAAATTTAAAAAACTAATTCTTTCATGCCAACGTTTCGAGGACACTAAAAACTCTTTATCAGGGCACTTTAATCAGTCTGAAAAATTCAAAATACATCATCAGAAAATTAACATTGAGATTTTGGCTAATAATTAGTATTATTGAGTTACACTTGTGTATAGAATTTTGTGCCGATCGATTCAATACATTCTGGTGTAGAGCAATTCATAAAAAAAAAATATTTTTTCTAAAAAGTCACATCGTCATTTTATCGATTATTTTTGCCTCTGGAGGCTTATTGTCGACTTGTTTTATCAACAATTCCATTTCATATTTGAGAATTTGAAATAATTTGCGACCGAAATTTCGAATCCTCTTTTGCTAATTGCTGGATAATTCCACTGAGTAGTTTTGCAAGAAAGGAATAATCATCTGAGATTCTGGCTAAGATGAGGCCACGTTTTTCTTCAAAAATGAAATTAATACCATTTACAGATTTTTTCATACTGAATTCAACAGTTTTTGTAGAATTCTCATAGTACGTTAGGCTTTGGAGAAAAAAATATCGAAGTTGTGAAATTGGTTGAAAATGTAATTTTTCAAAAAGTTCAAACTAAATGAAATGTAGATAAAATTGAATGAGATAAAATAACAGAATATAGTTAAAGAATCATTTTATCTGTTAGAACAGACCGCCTTCAATTCCGTGACGTGATTTCACTGTAAACAAATTCCGAAATTCAAAAATGTATTTGAACTATATGTTAATTAAGTGAATTCTCGGAAGTTGACTTCGCATATGTTTCTAACCCTCTGGAATAATTTAACGGCCACTTTTGTGGTTTTTGGTTATTCCCGCATTGGCTCAAAATTATGGAAATTGACTCTAAGAACGTTTTCGAAAAATCGTTAACTTCAGCATAAAAAAATCTATAAGTGGTATCAATTTCATTTTTGGAGAAAAACTTGGCTTTATTTTATTTTATTATTTTTAACGGAAAAATAAAAATAATAAATAATAATAAATAATTTTTGTTGTAAATTCTAAGAACTTGCCACTGGCCATCGCCCGGGGGCCTTCAGCCAAGTATTTACATTTTATGTACTCAATAGTTGATACAAAAAGAAAGTGTCTGTTTGTGTGTTCATTTTGCTGGATGAGGATCGAGAAATTAAAGATAATTTTTACAAGATTGAGTCTTGGCTTTGTTTTGCTGCAGTGTGTTATTTTCGCCTGTCTTAAATTTGGATAAAATTTTTCCAAACGTCAAAATGAAATGTGATTTTTTCAAATCGCTTCATTCACTAGGAGATATTGATCAGTCATGTCATTCCAACTTTCCCCCATATCAGAGCTGCGATATCCAATCATCTGTATCTTCTCCATTTTTCCCTATTTTTCTTTGCTTCTGGTTTTTATTGGTGAATGTTTCGACCTCTGCAATCACCTGTGCAAACATTCTTACTTCATGCATATCTGCGAATAATATTGAAAGACATAAAAATTCAAATATTCTCTCGTTCGGGTTCTGAAAGAATTCACCAAGTCACTCGGGTCGATATAGTGATGACGCATGGATATTTTCTCTCCGGTTTTATTTATCGAAAATGTTTCATCGTTGGGTAGACTACTATACTAGCAAATGCGAGTGCTTACTGACCTGCTCTAAATTACGAATACGTAGGAGTACGCGCATTTATTCTCGTGAGACGGGGACCAAACAGACCGATGAGTCACGGTAGCACACGCGAGGACAAACACTGGTTGATGGATTTTTTTGGTATTTTTCTTTTTTCAGGGGATTCTGCGATCGGTGATGTAATAATAGGTTCAAGTGGTTGGTTGGAAGAACCGGTATTTTTAGGAGGCGATTGAAGAGAGGAGAGTGATATTGGAGGGTTCATTTGGGTCATATCTGATACACGTGCGTATCGTCCTGATAAATCGGTGAAAACGCATTCTGTCACGCGACGGTTTGACATGAAAACGTGGAAGTGTTCTTTCACGTTCTAGAACAATTATTTTTATGTTCTTATTCCTAGACTCGACAATGATGAGGAAGAAGAAAATAGGATGGGGCGATTTCACTTGGAGATAAGTTTTTTGAGAATAGCACGGAATCTGAGAGAGATAAAGAAATCTTTCGAAGAGAAAACAGTTAAAATTCGGTGTTAATTCTGACACCAAATCGTTGTCCCAAAAAGTCCACGCTGTTTTCAGTGTGCGCTAGCGGTGTCAAAAATTTGGTGTGAAGTATTTATTCGGTGTTAAAGTAGTATGAATAAACTACAGTTGAGTCGTTGAGTGTAACGAGGAAAAATAAATTCAAAAAACTAAAAAAAATTATTCATTATTGATAATTTTTCCTATGAATTTTAAGTTCAATGAGTGTAGAAAATTCATTCATCAAATTTTTCTGAAATTTTTTTTTAAACAATAGTCTCTCGTTTGCCTAAGATGTTTTGAAGTAACACGCCAGTTCGGGCACGCAGAAATATAAATTATTTATGACAAAAGTATGACAATGACGATAATTTTTGTATTGGGCATAGAATTTTTATCTATTTTTTTTTATTTGTCGATTTTTTTTTCTAGATTTTGGAGTCCTCTCTGACCTCGAGAAGTTAATTTTCGCATAAAACTCTGTGTTATTTTTGCACTTCTAGATTAATTATTATTAATAATAGTAGATTGCCGATTGAACCCAAACTCAACCAGAATGGTTCTATTCATAGTAATTTTCATTTGGAATTTATTTCAGATTTTAATTTTCAAAATTCAAGTACAGTAATTTCTTTATTTCCCTATTACGGGCTATTACAGGCTTGCATTTCGTTCTTACAAAAACAATATTAATCTTTAACATTAACTTAAATTCTTATCCATCAGAATAACAAATTTGATTATACCTTAAGACCTTAAAAACTAGGGAGTAGAAGCATAATGAGGATTCGTACAAGGAGAATATAAATTAATAAAAATAAAATACAATAAAATAAGAAAGACAAATTAACGTAAAATTCAAGTTATATTTATGCTTTACCGCTACACTGTTAGTAAATTACTCTTGAATTTTAAAGTGAAAAAGCTTGAAATTTTTAACGACGACAAAGTTACATGAAATTTCTGTATATTTCGTCATTGACGAATTAGATAATTTCTTGAATATTCAAGCAATTCTCGATTTTTAGGCCTATACGGCACTGAAAAACCTTGAAAATTTTGAAAATTCAGGCAATAACGTTCTTGAATCTACAATCTATGGAAAATTGAATTGTATGTGATGTTCAATTTTCACGATGAGTCTGAAAATTCAAGTTTTCATTGAAAAATCAATGATTATTTAACATGAAAAATCCTATTTTCTTAAATTTTCAAGATGAATGAGAAATTTAGTGAACGCGTTCATTTGAAATTGAATTCAATCTCACAACACTGAAAATTCAGATGACGCGGTGACTGAAATTTTAAGAAATTTCTAAAAGTAACACCGGAGAGGTGTAGCGAGTGCGAGTGCGAGTGCATGAAGTCAATGATAAGACAGACTCAATGCCAATTGACACTGAATAAGATAAAATGTGCAAATTCAGATTTTTCATAGTTAACAAATGTAGAAGCTTCAATAATGATTTAAATGTCTTACTTCATAGTGAAAATTTTTAAGCATTTTAATCGTCCCATTAAACTGAAAATTGACGGATTTTCCAGTAACAAAATCTATTGAAATTTCGCATATATTAATTACTGGTGGGACACTCCATATTTTCTGCTTCAAAATCGATGCAAAATATTTCATCAGTCCGATTCAAAGATGTCGAACCAATCCGATTTAATTCCTATTTTTCTAACAATTTATTGAATGTTTTTTTCTCATTACAAACTACCAGTTGATTTTCCATGTAAACTTACTCTCAACAAACACCGTTAAAAATAAAGAACAATAACATACAAAAATATTTTATCAGCGTAATAAATAAACTGCCATAAGGCCACTCACCACATTCGACCACGTCACTACGTAATATTTATAAAGTTGCTTTTCATGCTTTTCATTTGATTTTTTCCTCTTCTTTTTCAGGTCCATGCTAAACACGAAGAGAAAACAGAGAGCAAATCTGTATACAGGGAGTACAACCGTGAATTCCTGTTGCCAAAAGGCACAAATCCCGAGACAATTAAATCATCACTCAGCAAAGATGGTGTACTGACTGTCGAAGCTCCACTTCCAGCACTTGGATACGGTGAAAAACTCATCCCAATTGCCCACCAATAAATTACAACAAAAAAACTTAATTACTCACATTGCCCTATTGAATTACTCCTGTATACCTATGTTTCCAGTCTTTTATTTCCCCCAGAGTCCAACCTTCGGTATTCATGTCTCCCATTTATCCATCAAAACGTTTGGAAAATGTATTATCTTTGCCAACAAGAGCCTCATCGCTGTTGTTAATTGATGTTTGCTATTACGCCTTAAAATTTTTAATAAATGAAAATTTATAAAAGTTTATGTTGATGGTGTGAATTCAAATGATACAGCAACTCCAATCAATCAGAATATTTCAGAGTCCGTTGGACTTGATAAGGTGCATGACTTTTTCAAATCAGAATAAATACTTTATACTTTTCAATACACGAAACGACTGCTTTTCCAAGGTTTTACTATTTATAAAATCAACACTGTTGAAATTTTCTGCTTGAAATTTCCCATGGAAGATTTTCGGATTCCAAGGGAGTCTTCGAATTATCAGGGTTTTACAGAAAATTATCAAGAAATGAAAATTCTTTTCATGGAGAACTGAATATTCGTGTTACATTGTCCAAAAATTAATAACTCTTTCTACAATTTCATGGCATCTTGTAATTTTTACAATTGCGCCTAAATATGTAACTTTTTGGAAATTTCGTTTCTTTTCCTTGTAATTTCCTTCAAAACCCTGAAAATTTGGAAATTCTTTGAAGTTCAAAGAACTTGTATCACAAGTTTCAGTCAGAAATTTTAAACGTCGTCCAACATAGAGTAGAAATTGAAATAAAGTCCAACGGTCTAAAGCTTAATTGAAAGTAACAGTGGGAAAAATGGTACACAAAATTATATTCGTAACTTATATTTGCGTTTAGAATAGACTATACGTTCAAAAGACTAAAAACACAAATGCCTAGCGTATTTAAGCATTATAATATTAATATTATTTATGGATATTGGAATATTTTCCATGCATAATGTTTAAAAATTATTGGCAGAGTTGAGGAGAAATTGAATAAAGATATAAAATTTAAAAGTAATGTCAGAGTTATCTTTCTAATCTTATCAAACTGGTCTTCAGACACTGTTCAATAGGAAATGGAACGAATCTACGTGGGTCGGATGCAGTGAACAAATATGTATGTCAGGTGTTATCACAGCTTTTATACTTTATTAAGAAAATATTTAATCTTATATACATGAGAATATCATTTTCATGTTTAATGATTCTGTAAAATTAAAAGGGACATGTACAAATTCATTTTATATTCAGCTTTTCTTCAACGGTATCAACGTTGCACATGATTTATTAAAGGTTCGACGTCTTCCTCTCATTCTTCATGTCAAAAAATTGTTACAATTCTCGACGTTTTTTGGTTTTTAAATAATATACTGATTATTACTGAAGGTAGTGAGTACAAAGCACCAACAGTTACATAAAATAAAAATTCCCAAACATTTCATGAGTAAATACGAAATATGTTCAATTGATTCGAGAGAACTAACAATAAGTTATGATAGAGCTCATAATCATAATTCAGTTTCATTTTAAAAATATATTAGACTTCTCAACAAGATATACACAATTACTCATTCACCCTCATGATCATGGTTAAAAACTTAATTATTCGTTTTGTATTAAAAAATCAGTTTAAGAGGAGACTACTATGAGTTTTGAAAGTCGCGGGCTATTGCAATGAGATTCCTCATTCATTGAAGCTCGATTATGTATGTCTAAAAACGTATGATTTAATGCAAAAAAAGGTTTCAGTATACAACCCCCGCCCCTACACAGCGAATTTCATTTTTTTTTAAATAAAAAATTACATCATTCATGTAAAATGGCCCTAGAAATGTTTCTGAAAGAATCGAGAATATATTTTTATTATTTCAAGGATAATTTTTCTGACAATGTTACATGAATGGCACAAATTTTTCTATTAATTTAAACGAAATTAGCTGTGTAGTAGTCGAATTTCAAAAAATTAATTCGTAATTATTATCGTATACATTTTTTGCAAAAATTTTGAAAAAAAACCTCTGTATTTTTAACATTTTAATCATCTGCGGGGAACAAACAATAAAAAATTAATTTTTTTGTACTAATTATTCGTTTGTAGACATATATCATCGATCTTCAATGCATGAGAAATCTCTCTCCAATAGCCCGAAACTTTTAAAACTCAGTAGTCTCCCCTTAATAATGCAGACTTGTTAAAAATCATTTTCAGTTCCATTAAAAGAGAACACTGGATAATAATAAAAAATCATCATTGAATAAAAATGTATGAATCATCAATGAGAATTACTGATAATGTATTTGGTTGATAGACCCTAAGTGCTCGGTATTTCGGCAGCAAAAAGGGAGGAATCAGGTGCACTAAAAATCGGTGATTTCCCCTCTTTAGCGATCCTCAAAGCTTGGAGAACAGCAACAGTGTCTAGTTCCTTTTGATTTGGTTTTTCATTATCGAGACAAATGTCAGCAGCTCGTTTGCCAAAAGGCTCCAGTACCTTGACCCTGTAATCCACTATTGTGGAGACTGGATTACCAGTTAATCTTAGATTCTCCAGACAGGGGAGGGATCCCACGTGCTTGACCTCCTCAATATTTTCAATTCTATTACAACTCACGTCCAGCCACTCTAGGGAATAAAGCTTCGAGAAACTCGCTAACGAAGTCAGCTGATTCTGGGAGATGTCCATGTGCACAATATTCCCCAACTTTGTGTGCAACTTCTCAGGCAAATTGATGAAATTATTGGATGCCAGGTGCAGCTGCGAGAGTCTGGGCAGCAGAGTCACGTTAGAAATCTCAGAGAGGCGATTATTATTCAGAGTCAATGACTCGATATGTGGCATCAGCTTTATCGCCTCATCGATGCTTTCTACCTGGTTATCGCTGAGGTCCACGTGTGTCACCTTCAGCCACACGTGGGAATCATTGGCGTTTTCGATCCTCTTGTGGACCTCCTCGCACATCACCAACTCTACGATGTTCCTCAACTTCGTGTGATGCACCTCCAGGATCTTGACTGTGTCTCGAAGGTTTCCCATGCCGTAGATTTTGTCTACTGGGTAACGATTTATTACGAGGTGCTCGATGATTTTGAACGTCGAGAGCTCGATTGGGAGGAGAGATGGATTTATGTTGCTGGTACCATAGGGCTCGGTGCTGCCTTCAATCGTAAGGGCCTTCAGGTGGGAGTTCAGATCTAGTACGTGACTGAAGTCGAATTTACGGTCTGCCACCTCGAGGGGGGGACAGGGCTGCTTTAATCGCTCGCTTATTGCGTAGAGCTGGAGAAATTAGAGTATATTAATTGAATAGCTTTTTCATTGGAATCTTTTCTGTATTTAAATTATGATTTGTTATTGAAGAATAAAGGATGTTTACTCGAAATGGCAAGCACTTGAAAAATTTTTGATTTTTTTCAAACTGATGGATAGAGTTGTCTTTTTTACGTTCATCAACATCTTGATCTACTAGTAGAGGAGAGTGGGGAAAAATGAAACAGTCAAAAAACGACTGTTTAACACATTTCAAACAAAAAAATTTTTTTTGTTAAATTTTTTTTATTTTTGGGCACACTGATGAGAATGATAATTTTCCATTCAGTAGAATAGAAAATTATGGAGAAGTTTTGACGGGCGAAGATTTTTTCAATGGATTAATTGAAAAGAAAATGAAATAGCAAAATCCAAAGTCCAGAGCAAGGCCCAGGGGGAGGCCCAGAGGAGGAAAAAGGTGATGCTGAATTTCAATCGAATAATTCATTGACAAAACTTTTGCCCATCAAAACTTCTCAATAATTTTCCATTCTACTGAAGGGGAAATTATTATTCTTATCAGTACTTCCAAAAATAAAAAAAAAGTTTACAAAAAAAAATATTTAATAAAAAAAATTTTTTTTGCTTGAATTGCGTCAAACAGTCGTTTTTTGAGTGTTTCATTTTGCCTCACTCTCCCCTACAAATTGATAATTAAAGAATAAAATAGGTAATATGCAATGAATATGAGCATTAGTATGAGGTTCTGTGGAGTTTTCATGTTTCCCAGATTCTTTGTTTCCCATTGGACTAAGTTTTTTTTCATATTGCTCTCTTTTTTTATTTTCATTTTCGATCCAGTTGCACTCAGCCTAGTTAAGAACATTCTCAATTAAGTATCGGTATAAATAAAAATAATCTGCGGAGCAATTTGGATCGAAAATTCACCTAAAAAACGTGGTGTATCGATGTATCATGACTACTTGTCATTAATACCACTGACTGAATGAATGCACTCTACGACGAATTCCTAAAATTGTCTAATTGTGGAAATTGACTCCAGACAAAAATTTATTCAAACAATTTATGTCTGCAGTAAATTTATTTCAGAGTTGAACAATTATAGGAATTCGTCGTAGAGTGCATTTCAGCCATTCGGTCGGGAATATCGACTAGATACTTCACAATTAGTGACATTATTGGCACGTCGGAAAGGTATACCGATACACCACGATTTTTGGTGAAACAATTTCGATGAACTTTCGATCAAAATTGATCAACAGATTATTTTTATTTATTCCGATATTTAAGGATATCCCAGTACTTTGGCTATTTTTTCTCCACTGAAATGCTCTTCTACTTTTGTAGTCGAACATCAGAGCTTTCGTTTGAGCCTTATTTGACCCTAAGGTTCCGGACATTTTACAATGATTGTATTATTTAAACTTTGCAGGTCTAAATTTCAGTCTCGATACTGAACCGTTGAAAACCATTTTAAAAATCTTTGAAATGTTTTAAAGTTACTTTTGAAAGAAGATTGATGAAATAATTTAAAAATTCCATTTTCTGAAAATTACGAGCACTATGTATAAATAATTTATAAAAAATCAATTTTCCTCCATCAAAATCATTTGATCAGAATCGTAACAAATTTATTTCTATTCAGAATTTCACTAGAAATCGATTTCATGCCTAAAAAAAAGAGGTTTCCGAAAGCTTAAACAATTTCAATTATTCATATACAAGCAACGAATGTTGAAAAAAATAACTCTGTGCAAAGTGTAATTTTAATGACGCTGAATATTCATGATTTTTTTCAAATTTTTTTCTACGTAATTTAATTGACAAATTTGATGACTGAAAACGGTTGAATCTACAAGGTGGTCTGTATCAAACTGTAAAAGATACTTGGATATCCTTAACTGAGGATTTTCTTAACTAGGCTTGGTGCAACCGGGCCTCATTGATAGACTCCTGCATTGGAATGTTCAATGATTATAGAAATAACATAGGGGAGGGTGGGGCAATAGATAAGATAGAAAAGATTTTTTTTTTCAAAATTCAAATTTTTGAAAATTGTTTCACTGGGATACCTGATAAATCCGTATAGGATAAACTAAAATGGACGCTCAAAAAAATTTCGAACAAATTTCAATAATCAAATTTTTAGAAACTGCTTTTTGACAATGTCCACAACCGAAAAATTATTTAAGAGTGGGGTAAAATGAACACCCGACAAAGTTAATCCTATTCAGGTTTTACTCAAGAAAATTTTCAACAGATATTTTCCAACAAAATCGTGTCCGTATGTTTTTATAAAAAGAAATTCAAGCTGGAAGAGATATTAACAAGTAAACTTCAACTCTATTAAATTTTGTATTGAAGTTTGAAATATAGAGTAGGCTTTGGACTTCCTGTTTTACTATTGAAATACCCTCGAATTTTTTTTTTTTTTCAATGAACAGTTGTACGCCCTACACAACTGACCTTCGTCAATTTGCGAAATTTGTACAATGGCTACTTTTCATCTTACAAGGAACATAACACAATGGGAGGAGGGGAGGATAAATGAGCAAAGAAAAAGTTGGTTTATCACCCCCACGACAAAAGTCAAAAATGTGTTTTTTTTTTTCAAATTGAAAATCGTAGTCATGACTAATGTATCAAAAATTGAATAACATTGTTGAAACATTAAAAATTGAGGAAGAAAACGAAGTATCGATTTTTGCTTTACCTTACAACTTCTATAACGCAGTCTTATGACAATGTGTTCGTTTTTATAAACTCGCAATGAAGTCGGAACAGTAGATTTGATCCAATTCAATTCATTATTTAAATCTGGTGTCCATATTGCCCCACCCTCCCCTATTCTTACAGAAAATCTCTTGACAATTCATTCAAAATCTTTAATAATCAAAATGACGACCACTCAACACGTATGAAAAAATCGTATAGAAATTTTCTATACGGATTGCGTATAGAATTTCTATAGGATTTTCGTATATGATATTCGGATATTTCTATACCATTTCTATAGGTTTGATCCTATACGACCCAGTTCCCCATGTATAGAAACATTTTGTATGGAGTTGCGACGTTTCTCTACGTTTTTCTCTGGAGTGTTTAGGCATATCTTTCGTATGAAAACAAAAATTTATGTAAAAATTTATGTATAGAAATAATTCGTATAGAAATATCCGAATATCATATACGGAAATCCTACAGAATTTTTATACACTATCCGTAGAGGAGGGTGGGGTAAAACGAACACTTTGGACTTTTTTAAAATTATTCATAACTCAGAAACAAATTGATCAATTGAGCTCAATTTAGGCTCGTCACAAAGGAAAGAATTGTTCTTTGTATTAAAAGAAAAATTATTGAATTTTATCAACATTTCAACCCCTCCTTAACATTAAAAAAAATTCAAGTGTCCGTTTTACTCCAACCTCCCCTATAGAAAGTTTCTATACGATTTTTTCATACATGAATCCACAATGAAAATAAAATTCTTACTTGAACAGGAGTGAACGTATAGCCCTTGTTCCCCAGCAATAAAGCTTCCCCCTCAGTAAAAAATTGCAGAGACATATTTTGGAGCAGGAAGAAAATGTCATAAACATGTAGATCCAAGAACATAGCCAAATCCCTCGGCATAGTCTTCTTCAAATAATTGTAAACAGAATTCAGATAAATCTCGAGTCCTTGTCGCCTCTTTTCAATGAAAGCCTCACTCTTGTTGCCAATGAGTTTCTTGGGTGGAAGACTCTCCTTCTCCACGCAATGCTCCGATACCAGGGTATCATGGAGCTCAGCGAATTCATTGTATCTGTGCTTCAGTGTCCAAACAACCTCGTCTATTCTAACCTCAATTACGTAGAAGGTAATCCCGTCTATTGTCTCGATAGATGGAATTTTAATCTGCATGTTCTCTGGATTCAACCATAGGCAAGCCATTGTATGGGCTGAAGCTCCTAGTGGGGCTCTTGAACCTGGAGATGTGATTTGAACTTTCCTGTCTCCTTAATTACCTCACAGATCAACATCACAGATTGAATTTAATTCTCACACTTTCAGGCATCCTCAACGTATTTTCCAATTCTTTCTGCTTCGACGAGTGTTATCTGACAGCCACGAACATGTGAATCAGGGGATGAAACATTTTTTTTGCGAGATTGTTTGACAGAAAACTTTGAAAGACTGATTGGAGTTGTGTGCATGGACCGAAGTGGCGGCGGAGAGAGCAAGAGAGATGATGTTCAATAGCTCCGGCTGTTTAGGACAGAGTCCACAGTCTAACGGGCCCAAAGAGCAAGAGAGAGATGACAGCAATATTAGCAGATAGGCAAGGAAGCGTTTTTCCTATACCAATCAAAATACTGGGGCTACTGTGACGTGTTTTCATGTCGGTTTTCGCAAATTGTTCCGCGCTGAGATTCGAACTAGAGATGGGCGATACGCCTCGATATATCGAAGTGTTCAAGATTGTATATCGATATACCGACGTTTTTCTACCGATATTTTTGACGACTAATATATCGCTGTTCGATATTTTTTCGTCAATATCAAAGTCTAAATTTGTTTCTAATTTTTTAGAATTTCGCAAGAGAATAAATGAAATGTTAGCACAAAAAAGAAAAATATTGTTTTCAATACCGCATGATTTTATTTCTTTCAGATTTCATTGGACCCCCTCCTCTCTTATATCTGACCCATCGGACTCTGCTCCCTCACTCCACCCATCGGATCATGACCATCATGATCACTCTAGTTGGTTTTCCCATCTTGTCATTGGTGAATATTTCAAATGAAAAATATATCGGGTTCAATGATATTTTTTTCAGAATATCGATATTTTCAAATTATATCGATAGTTGCGATTTCGATATTTCCTTCAATATCGCCCATCCCTAATTCGAACAGCTAGTCCTATTTACTAAAGATGAACGAAACGTGAAGTTGTTTTATATCGAAATATCTCGAAACTGCCTGACCGCTAATCCTTAACTCTGATTGGTCAATATGTGACACACGAAGTTATTCACAAAAAAAACACGCGGCATTTTCAAATTCTTCAGTGACATAATTTCAAATTCTTCAGAGGTAAATTTTTTTTTCACGTCATATATAATATATATATATATATTTCACATGTATATATATTATCGGTGAAATGAATAAATTCTGTCCTTTTATGGAGACCGATTATTTTAAAAAATTGAAGATAATTAATTGAAAATGAAAAATTCTTTATAGATTCTTTTACTCTACTTCGCTATTCACTTCAATCCTTAGTCGAATTCTTTTTGATAAATTATTAATATTTATAAGGTATTCATGAGAAAATGAAATTCAATGAATTCCATTTCTTCATTTCAACAAATGAATAGATAAGCGCGCGCGAGAGCGCGCGCATAGATTTTGTAAATTAAAAATTTAAGACTACGCTGAGAAAAAAAATAATTTTGCCAAATATTCATTTACTTGATAGCAGTATTTTCAAACTCGTATTTCTCCTCACGTATGAAAAAATGCTATAGGATTTCCTATAGGAAATGTTCGAATTCTCCATAGGATTTCCTATAGGATTTTGCTGATAGGATTCCCTATCAGATTTATGACCGTAATCCTGACCCTTGTGACCGATTGGTTTCGAGTCTCAATTTTGTGTTACTTTCTATAGAAAACCCTATAGTGAATTCTATAGAAAATGCTATAGAAAATCCTATAGGAAATCCCACCAAAAAAATCCTATAGGAAATGTTCGAATTCTCCATAGGATTTCCTGTAGGCAATCCCATAAGAAATCCTATAGGATTTTTTCATACGTGCTATTGAGTCATTCCTAGGCGAGCCTGGCCCGGTTTCAATTATAACAATCATTATGTTACTCTAGAGGATGACTATGTTGCACACGACCTTGAATGAACTCTACTGATTATTCATTTTTCCTAAATTTCTTATTTTCTAGAGGGAAAAATTAATTCTTTAATGTTGATATTATTGAGAGAGTTCACTCAAGGTCATAACTGCCATGAACATATTCTGTAGCAATATAATTGTCATAATTGACACCTGAGGATTGCAATCCTGGGCATGCCTGGGAATGACTCGACTAGAAAAATACGGTATTGAAATAATAAATGCTTCTCTTAGCAAATGGATATTTGGCGCAAATAATTTACTTGAGAGAAGCATTTATTTTTTCAAAATCGTTTTTCTTCAATCGAGTCATTCCCAGGCGAGGCTAAACCGGTTTAAATAGGGAACTTGCATAAATTTTTTTCCATTTTCTAATTTCAAGCTTGAGACCTGAATAATTCACTTTTTCATTCACAAATGTTTGAAATATTGCTTATTAATTAATAATTAATTGTTAAAAGTCGAGCGCCGGACCAATCCCAGAATGGCTTTAGCCGATCTAACCCGATCTTGAGGTGCTCCTCGGCCAATGGATCGAGGAAGACAACTCCCCACTCTCTTCACACTAGCCCAATGAAGCGTTATGTGACCGTCTTCGTGACGTCATGCCCGAAAAATTTGTCATGACTGATTTTCAATTTATTATTATCAGACTAACATTACATTAATTAACATTATGAAGAATGTGTGAATAGAGAACTTAGCAAGAATTGAGTTTCATGCAAGCTCCCTATTATAACAATCATGTTGCTCTAGATGATGACTATGTTGCACTTGGATGAAGTCCTCTAATGATTATTCATTATTCCTAAATTTCTTATTTTCTAGAGGGCAGAATTTCTATTGATTCTTTAATGTTGATAGATATTAAGGGCGTTCACTCAAGGACATATAACTGACGTGATCATCTTCTAGAGCAATACAATTGATATAATTGAAACCTAATGAGGATTGCCTGGGGAACAACTCGACTGGAGAAATACGGTATTGAAAAAATCAATAGTTCTCTCAAGCAAATGGATATGTATGTGTATTTGAAATTTTGTGTCACCTCAACAATCCTTACATGTGATAATAATTGAGGGGTTAGTAACAGGATGACTACTCTGAGTATTCGACTACCTGGACCATTGGGGTAATTGTAATTTAATGCAAATTTAATAGAATTAAAACACAAACAGAAATGAAAAAAAGAAAAAGCGTTATAACACACAAAGAAATGGTTAGATGACTTCTACCAAAAAGGTTCGAACCCCTGCTTGTTTTATTTTTAGGGGCGTATTATATACTACATACATATATACTATCCTATATATATTTTTTTACATAACTGTATTTATTTTTTTACAGTTAAAAAAAATTACAGTATAAAACATATATGTATAGTATATATAGTATGGATTCTATGCTATTTTTGTATTACATTAAGAAATGAAATTCTCTCATTTCACAATTGCACAAATTAAACAAAAGATTACAGTACATAAAAACATATAACATAAACATCATATTGCGGTTACTTGATAAGCGAAATAGAGGCTTCAAAAAATCGTTACACTGAATTTTTTTAAAGTGGAATAGATCATGACTAAATGAATTTTGAATTTCATAAATTTTTTGCGTCTAGAGTAAAATTTATGAAATTCAAAATTCTCTTATTCATAATCTATTGCGAGTAAAGTAAAACGGATGTTTAACTTTATTCTTTGGAATGTAACGAACATTGTAAAAAAAAGATAAAATCAAATGAAAACTACGGCGCAAGGAGCATTTTGAAGGTACAAATGGAAAAAATTAAATTTTTCTTGGTTATACGGGGCAAAATCGACCGGGTCCGCGATTTTCTCCAGTTATTCTGATCTTTCGTCGTATATTACAAACTGTTCAATGGGTCCCAAGGCCCAGTGAAGACTTAAATTTCACCAACGTATCCCTTTTAATTCATTAGCGAAGGGGTAAACCGGGTTAAGTCGATTTTAACTTTTGGTCAGTTTTTGATGAATATCTTGAAAACGAAGAGAAATAGCAAATTTTTTTTCATGACCTTTTTTATAACTCGCAATTGGCTCTACAAAAAAGATTATGACAACAAATTTTCTATCTCTTTTAGATACCGAGATATTCGTCAAAAACTGATCAATAATCAAAATCGACTTGACTCGGTTTACCGCTTCGCTACTGAATTGAAAGTTACGCGCGTCCTCGCATGCTGCCATCTTGAGGGAAGCACGTGTGGTGAATCCCAGAAGTGCATATTTACGATGTCGATAAGAGAAAAATAATATTGGGAGGTGGAGGATGATCATCAGTGAGTGATTGACAGGAGTGATCAAATTGTTGTTACGATGAGCTAAAATTAACATATCTTCCTCTCGGTTTTTATTAATTCCGGGCGTTGACACCCGAATTCTTCCCTAATACTAGATGAGCACAATTTCTCGAGGCTGATTATTTCATTATGAAAGTAAAACAAATGGTGAAACTTCGGAGCACAAGGTAAATTATTTTTCGTAGAAATAAAGATTCATTGAGTTATCGTCTAAGTATGCAAGAGAGTGGACTCGTCTTATCTGAGTATGAGGAAATCAATTCGTTGCTGTATAAACCAATTATTGCCACTCAGCGAATCAAAGTGAGTTGAAGTGAGAGGGGAATGAAAAGGAAGTATTCTCCATATTGTTTACGAGTTTTTTTCTTTTTTTATAGTACACCTGTATCAATGTCTCAACAAGTCACATTGTCCTTGGTTCCACGAGTGGGAGTCTGTACTTATTCACCAGAGAGCCATGTACTTTTCAACAAGTGATACCATTATCGGTACATGATACATTTTTAAATTTCAAAATCCAATTGTATTATTTTGCAAATGTCTCCGAACGAAAGGGATTTGGGAGAAAATATCAAGACGTCTTTGGTGGAGAATTTTGAAAGCCACAAAAAAGCTCTTCTGACGTTTTCCTGCGAAATCTCTAGTTTCGAAGCCATTTGCGAAATACATTGCACGCGCATTTTGCTCTTACCTGATCGCAATTATTCGTGCCAAATTGCAAGTCAATATGTCGATTTTTGCAAAAATGAAACAACAAAGAGACATGAAAGAAGATGCCCTACAAAAAGCAGGAAATTTAGTGAAAGAAAGTCTAGGAATGTTGAACGGAAAGAGACAAAAAGAAGACTCATCTTGGTGGATAATATTATTTTTTATGTATTTATGTATTCTGGTATGAAAAACTCAAAAAAAAAACGGTCATTTAACGAGGGGCTGGTCACTTCTCAATCGGGTGCCTCAAAGATTTCCATAATGAGATGATTTCCTGTGATTTATTGAATGATTTTTGTGATTTCTCAATAAGAATTGGAAATCATGATCTCTTTTAATTTTTTGTGATCCCATGACTTCTAATAAATTCTGATGATTTCTTAATTTCAAGAAATCACTCGAAAAATCATCATTTTGGGGCCAAAGTTCCAGTTTCGTTTCCGGCAATAACGTTATTCGACTTTCGTTTCCGGCGATAACATTATTCGACTTTCGTTTCCAGTTTCTTTTCCCGTAATAACGTTATTCCAATTTCGTTTCCAGTTTCGTTTCGGTGCTACTTTCGTTTCCGGGAACGGAAGGCACTTTCGTTTCGATATCGCATTTCGTTCTCAGTCCCTGCTAGATTGAGAATCTTTGCATTATTAACATATGAACATTCGAAAGGGATAACATTCTGACATAATTCAACATTTCAGAAGTGAAGTGGTCAAACGGTTTAAGTCAATTCCATTCTAGCGTCAGTTCTCGATGAATATCTCAAATTCTAAAGAATTTTGCAAAATTTTCTTAAAATTATTTTTTTGTAAGAAAAAGTGAAGACTATCGAAAAAGATCTTACGATAATTTCGCTATCTTTCTTAAATTCCGAGTTATTCAACAAAAACTCGTCTGGGAGCTAAGTCGACTTAAACTGATCGACCACTTCACTACTGATTTATTGAATCGAGGTATCAGATGATTTATTTTGACTAACGAAGAATTTATAAACAATATGTATTATGAGGAGATTAATTTAGAAACTGGAAAAATTCGAGAACGAGAATGTTGTCAATTTGACAATCAGAATGTTCCTCGTTCGAGAACTTCAAAGTTTCTTATTTTAAGAACCCAAAACCGAATGTTCTTGAAATGCGATAATATGAGCCCTAATTTGAGAATAATTGTCCTCCATTTAAGTAAAAACGGTTAAGAATTGAAACTTCTTTTTTCTGATTCTTAGGGAAATTTTCCTCGAAATAAGTGATAATTTCCAAAATTTTTTTTGCTAGATCTTAGTACAACGCAGTTTTTTAATTCAGAGATTTCTACCGGAAACTAGAAACTTTACGTCTGTATGTTATATTATCAGAATCCATCGATCCTTTAAAATTTCACCAAATAAAGAAAATTGTTGTTCTCGACCATTTGTTTTGAAATTGTTGAAATTCATTTGGGCCATATTCAGGTCAGCAACAATAATTCATCACAAATTTACTAATTCATTTGCACTAAGTTTCGAATGCTCAAGGCATTCCTCTTCAGGTGCATAATTTATTCTGGAATAAGTGACAAAATAATTTTAAGATTGCACAATCACTCCACTATTGTTAAAATGTAAACTGTGTCCTAATAATCCTAAATTCTTACCAAACATCGAAACTAATCAATAAGAAAATCCAATTTGAATTGGTAAATTTGTAATGAATTATTGCTGCTGACCTGAATATGGCCCAAATGAATTTCAACAATTTCACCAAATAAGTTCAATAACAAAGCAAATTTCCAAATTACAGTGGACTCTCGTTATAGTTACACACATTACAGTGGCGTTTCCCCTTATATTGTTTTCTCTTCGCTCGGCCGCTTTCCTCACTCTACACTGAGCAGACAAGAGTTTTTTTGGGAAGTACATCTTTACTTGTATTAAGAAATTCATGACTTGAAAATTACCAAGCGCACAATATCTCACACTAAGAAAAAAAAATCTTACGGCAAGAAATGTTCTACTTGTCCGAAAGATGAGGGCGATTGGTTCATATCAAGGAAACGAGTGCTCAAACCAGTTCAAGTGGCTTTTACATTAAAATATTCGAGAATTGAGGATAGAAAACTATTAAATGGATTAATTCAATTTTACTTCGTTTGAGAAATGACTTTCTTGTCATCAAGAAATTGTCCTCGTTTTTAGGACTAATACAAAATTTCTTGGCGAATGTTTTTTTTCTTAGTCCGAAATATTTTGATCTTGAAAATTTTCAAGCTCCAGGTTTTTTGATATAAGTAAAGACGTACTTCTCAAAAAACTGTTTTTCTCAATGTACGAAAGTGATCAATCGCATTTTAAGGGGAGACTACTATGAGTTTTAAAAGTCGCGGGCGATTGTAGTGAGATTTCTCATACACTGAAGATCGATTATATATGTCTAAAAACGAATAACTAATGCAAAAATATTGAGTGTTTATTGTTCGTTTGCCCGCACACGCTTAAAACGTTAAAAATAGTCCAGGGCCTTCAATTTTTGAGCTACGGTTTTTTTTAATCAAATTTTTTGAAAAAATGTGTAACCGACGGCGGTGGCTGTGTGGTTGGAGTGTGGGATTGGCATGCGGGAGACTCGGGTTCGATTCCCGGCTTGGGGGGCCAAAATTTGTGACACTCTAAATCTGTACTGTACCTGGGCAGGCTTTTCCCTCAAATGAGGTTTCCCCTTGTCCTTCGGCGAATGCAGTACAGGGGGTTGGGGGGTGGGAAGGGAACAAATCATAGACCCGAAAGGGTATACGAGAAGAAAAAAAAAAAATTGAAAAAATGTGTGCAATAATAATTACGAATTAGTTTTTTAAAATTTGACTCCTACACAGCCAATTTCCTTTTGTTTAAAATAAGAAATTGCGCTATTCATGTAAAATAGGCAGAAAAATTATCCTTAAAATATTTAAAATATAATCTCGATTCTTTCAGAAATATTTTTCGGGCTACTTTACATGAATGGTGTAATTTTTTATTTAAAAAATTGCAAAAAAAACGAATTCGTAATTGCTATTGGACACATTTTTTCAAAAAATTTTGAAAAAAAGAAACCGCTATGTCTGTAGCTCAACAATTCGAGGCCCTGGACTATTTTTAAAATTCTAAGCGTCTGCGGGATAAACGAACGATAAACAATTAATTTTTTTGCACTAATTATTCATTTTTAGACATATATAATCGATCTTCAATGGATGAGAACTCGCATTCCAACAGCCCGCGACTTTTAAAACTCATATCAGTCTCCCCTTAATTCGCTCTTTCATGATTACTCTTTATCGCGCACAAGGAAATTTCCAAAACCTTCCAAATCTCCGTTCATTTCACTTCTCAACTACTACCGATAAGTCCAAAACAGTCCTGAAATTCTCACCCCCTCTCATCCGCAGGAGGGCACAGTAACCCACGTGCAGATATCCCCGGACGAGAAAACCGTCGCCCTATCCACAAAGCGTGGGAGCGTCTGTATCATCACCTTCAAGCCCTTAGCGAAGCTCCTCTCAATCTCGAACGAGCACCTCCATGAGACCGTCACCTCCCTCTGCTGGAACTCGAAGAGCTCAGAAATCTACGTGGGGGACAACAATGGAAAGATCTCCACCATCGTCCTCTCGATATTCACGGTCAACGGAATGTTCCAAGCCCCCTCCTGCGCCCTCATGCACCTGGACTCGAGCATCGTCCAGCTGGACTACAGCCTGCATTATCTCCTCGTGTCGACCCTCACTCGTTGCTACATATGTGACACCTCCCAAGAGCAGTTCAGGCAGATCGGTAATAAAGCGAGGGACGGAGCCTTCGGTGCTTGTTTCATGAGAAAGCCCCCAGTGGAAATCGAGAAAAACACATCGCCCGTCCCAGAGGGTGAGAAATCTCTGAACAAATCAGTCGGTCTAAACTCCATAGTGGGTCTAACCGATGACAATCACGAGGAAAATCTTCTAATCTACTCGGCAAGACCAGGCCTGCGACTCTGGGAAGTCAACCTGAACGGAACTGTTCTGAAAACTCATCAATTCAAAGATGCCCTAGCCGTTCCCCCCTCCGAAATCCACAGATCAGCTCTCGTCAGATCAATTCCCACCAGCATAAGCAACGAGCAAAATGACCAAAACATCCTCAACTTTTCCCACCTATTCGTCATAAGTAAAAGATACCTGCTCTCTCACTCAAACACATGCCTCTACATAATCGATCCTACAAATGCAGCAGTTGTACTGTGGACTGATAAACTAGATACCATAGCAATGGCACAAATTATTGACGATAAAATTTACTTAATGAATGCAAACGGCACATTTCACTGTCTAATGCTCTCTTCTATCGATTACCTCATCATCAAACTTTTTGAAATGAAACTTTACAATGATTGTTACAACGCATGCATGACATTTAAGAGTGATTTAATGAAATTAGTCGAGAGTAATAATCCATTAATGGTGAAGGATTTCAATGATTGTAGTAATGGCTTGGTAACTGTACTTGAACCAGTTATATCAGTGATACAATCGAATTTTAGTACTCAACCAAAGAGATTGAATTGCGGAATTGTTGTTGTTAATTCTGGTAATTCAATTGCATCGAGAAATAATGGGAAATATGAGAGGAATTATGACTCGTCTTCAGACTCTGAGATTCTTTGCAAGAGTGTGATAAAGCAGAGAAGAAAATTAGAGATTAAACATACTGATGATAAAGATATTAATGACCTTGATGGTGAATTTTCTCGGTTAAATTTGAGGAAAAATGGGGTGGAGTCATCATCAAAAATAAATGGAGATGAGGAAGAGTCGTCAGACCCTCGAAGAAAGCAGATCGAATCAGCAACAGCGAGTATTCAATCAGATATTCAACCAATTTATGCACTAATAAGTACCTTAAAGTCTTCGATAACTATAGAGGACTTGGAAGACACAATTTTTAACATAGTTAAGACTATACAAGAGATTAATTTCAAGTACGAGGATATCGTCGAGTTGAAGATATATCTGTATGAGGTTGTGAGGTCCATTGAGAGGCTCTACTTCCATGGACTGTTGGAGAGCGTTTCTCCGGAGATGTTGACACCTCCGGGGAATTCTGATAACAGTTATGTGGTGGAGGAAGTTCTCAGAGCATTCGTGGATTTGAATGGCTCTGATTACAGCGAGTGCAGATGTGGATTTCCCAGGTACAGGGCACCTTCAGAGCCAAAGTTTGGGGATGTTGGGCAGCTCTTGATGAGGAAATTCAGTCAGGAGGGTGGAGACAATTGTGTGAAACTATGCAAGAGTGTTCCTTATCTCTGGAGAGATTATCTTAGAATTTTTATTGATAAGGGAGAGAAAGTAGATCATCTTCATTTGTGCCTTCAGACTAGAGACAATACTGTACTTTCGATTATTCTTCCATTAGTTGGGGATGATTCCTGGGATATTGTTGCTGAGTGCGACGAGAGGATGAGGATTGGGAGGTGTATAGCGTGTGGAAGAGGTGATGAGGACCAGGGAGAAGTGACGGGCGTGGGGATTGATTGGAGTGGAGTGGCTCTTGAAATACTCAAGAGGCAGGGGATACATGCTGCCATGACATTCCTCAGTGATGTTGGGAGGAAGCTGCCTAGAATCAAATTAAAAGAAAGGTAATTTTTGCTTTTTTAAAGAGTTCATTCGTCGAGATTCTCATTTTGAAGTTGAAATGTTTATTCGTTCAATAATTTTTTGAATGGTTTTGCAGTATTTTTCAGTCACTTATCTGTACGAAACTATTGAATCGTCATGGATTTGATCAGGTGGTTGAGTTTGATGGGAGTGGTGAGGGGGGCAAGGAGTACAGCTCAATTTGCTCGAAAAAGGTAATTTTTGGAAGTGCAAGAATGGACTATTGCAAAATTTTCATAATACCTGCGGTGAGAATCCTGTTTGGATGAGTCAGATTTCATGCCAAAGAGTGATAATGAAATTCAAAAATTACTTGAGATTTTTTGAATTTCGTTCCACAGATTCATAATTATGGAAAATTGAAATAAGTTCATTCTGTTCAAGTTCATCACGATCGAAAGATGATTAAGTCGATTGAAATAAATTTTTAATCGTTTCCATTTGATTTCTACAGGCTAGAGAAGTACTCGCAGACGCCCTAGAGAAGGATCTCAATAGGCCAGTAAATAATAATATATTCGGTAGTGGAGCACACCACTGGGGCATGACATATAAAACAAGAGCATCTGTTTGTCCCTGCTGTACTCTCTCACTACAAACTCCAGTCTTACTGGGAAACAGTGGTATATCGATATTTCCATGTGGCCATGCCTATCACGTCAACTGCCTCATACAAAAAAAATTAACAAGATGTTACCTCCACTCATTAGAGTAGTAGAGAAGAATTATTGTATTGTAAAATTGTCAGAGTCATAAATACTGTTTATCTCTCTCTCTTCATTATTCGAATTAAAATACAGATCAAATTATTGAACCAAAATCACAGATATATTAATGAAAGTTTAGTTAAGTTGATTGTAACTGACTCGTTTATTATGGATCACTGACAGTACAACAATCTGTCGATTTTGAATAGATTTGAGAAACAGGTGTTGAGATTTAATGAAAATTTCTAGTACAATATTGTCTGTGCCAAATTACCTCTCAATCAAGAATCATTGGTAATTGAATCAATAAATAATTTAACATCAATTGTAAGTGACTTTAAGATGATATTAATTAGTTATTGGTCGAGTGTGGCCTAAATATAATAAGTAGATGATTAGAATCACTCGAATGTACCTATTCACTATTGTTTTCCATTCAGCACAATTTTCATCTTTTATATAAACAATAATTTTGAGCTAAATCCCATAATTTCGTCATCACAGAATTGACAAAAATCATTTACCCTTGTTTTTCGATCAATTTACAATTTTGAATCGATTTGTATTTGGATTTAAGATTTTTTAGGATTACTGAGTTTTAAAAAAAATATATTTCATTATTCTAGTCTTTAGTGCTTAGTTATAAATTTGTATTAAACAAAATTTTTGTTTTTCATTCATTTCGTTTTTCATTGATTTAGTTTTTTGCAGAGAAAATATTGTGATTAAAAGTCGTTCCAGAAGAAAATTTATATCTCTATAAATACATAAAAATTCAAGAAAAAAAAAGAAAAAACAGTAAAATAACAAAGAATTTATGAGTACGCATATCTCTTTCTTCACACTACTTTTTCACACTTACCTTAACCCATTATTATTAAAAAACGGTTTATCACAGCTTAAGTGGCATTAATTTCTCTCAGATAATAATCAGTCTTAATGTTCCATCGAAATACCTACCAAAATATTTGATGCTCATCGCTAAATCGATACAATTGTCTTACATCGTTAATTATATCTCACAATCTAATTGGTCTTAGGGGATGAAAATTAATCGATAGGTGATCATGGTTGATGACTTGAGCGAAGAGAAAACAGAAATAAAAAAGACAGTGGAAATAAATAATAATGAAAGCCTAGGGTCTCGATTTAATTAGCACAAAATAATAAGCGGAGTTACTGCTTCGTTACTTTCTATTTTCTTTTCGAATTTAATTTTTTAGCTAGTTTCTATTTGCAGCAGTTGCCTTCATTTGTTCAGTTCTTTTCCAATTATCGGATTTCTCCCCTGTTTCTGATTGGAAAGACATAAATTGCCTTTTCTATGAAATTCTGGTAATTCTAATGATTCCTGCCTGTCGTTATTGTTACTATTTTTCCAATGGATAAATCGTGACTGGCAGGTGAATTTCTATTTCTGCGGTGACAAACGTGGTTTCTTACAATCTACGATTCTCGTTTTCTTTTCAGCCTTAATTTTTAGGTACAATTTCTGTATTTTAGCTTAACACGGTAAGACTTACCCTGCAATGCCGGAACGATTTATTTCTGGTTTTTATATCCCATTTTGGTGACTTGGAATTTATCCAGATTTTTTCTTTCGTTTTTTTTGTATATTGGAAAAAAAACTATTCTCAAACAAAAAAGCTCTCGAGCTCGATCTTTGGAGCAATTGGAAGATTTGTTCGATTGAGTACAAACATAAACAGTTTTCAGGCATTTCCAATCGATCAATCAATCAATTGATTGATTATTACTGTTGAGTACAGATGTGAGAGTTGTTGAGAAACTGAGAAAAAAAATTGAGATATGTACTATTCTGCTTCGTTGAGCAAACTTGGAGAGTGAAGAACTCCGTTCTTTTCATTTCTTTGAGAATTGAAAAATCACATGAATAGTATCACAGTCACAGGAGTTTAGGCTTCAGTCAATGGAAAATGAGTCATCTCTGGATGTACGCTTTTTACGTTTGTTTCCAATAATAGAGATAATGATAATTGTCATCGATAAAGTTCTAGCGTACTGGAGAATAGCCTTGACATCGATCAAAAATCAACCCTTTCAGAATTATTTTTCATAAAAACCTATGGTTTAATTATCAATTATCACTGATAGGTAGTATTTATAAAAATTTTAAAATTCTCAAAAATTATTTTTCATGGAATATACGAAAATAATGAACAATTAAACCATAAGTAAATATGAAAAACATTATTCGATCACTTATTTCTAAATCTCAATCATCTCATTAGCTGTAATTATAAAAAAATGTGCATGCAATCTTGACAAAAATTGACAGTTCTAAAATTTTAACATAAAAAGACAGGAAGAGTATATTGGTTGGAGCAACTACAGGGTAAACTACGGATTGTTTTTCAACCAAAAAAAAAGTTAAAAAAAATACTTTGTGAGAATTGAAGATGATATAATCGAATTTAGCGAATTCTCTTCAACTGTATGCTCTAAATTCATTTCTCACAAAGTTTATAAAATTTACGACCATGTAAGAGCGCCACATAATTTTTCAATTTAACAATAAATAACATTTCATGACAATCAAGAAAAATATCGATTTCTCTTTAAAAATAAAAACTATAAATTCGCATTTGTTTCGTTAATCAAAAGAATGTGAAGAAGGCGCCGCTTCGTGACTCTACTCTACTTTTATCTGGTTTGTCCTCGATAGTAAAAAGGAGAAAGAATACCATTTACATCAGCATTTTACATACGATGTTTACATTGTTTTTTTCCATTACTCAGTAATTGAGTAGAGATTTCATATTGCAAAAATTGTGAAATATAAGCCAAATTATTCGATGAATACAGACAAACCACGAGTCATTTATGATAAAGTGGCAAAAGAAAAAAATAAATTAACATGTTTGTTTTGTAATTTTCTGCTATATCTCAGATATTTGTTTTAGTTTTGTTTTCCAGGATTTTGTGTCACAGATGAATAAAGTAAAGACATGTTCAGTAATATATATTTTTCGAAACCGAATATTTTTTTTCTTTTTTGCATTATATTAGGAATACAATCTTGCATTGTCGCATGAGCCCTGAAGACCGATGATAAATTTTCATTAAGAGCGTTCTTCATTCCTCTTGACAGTGTCCTGTGGATGATTAAAATCTTCGTTGAGCAGCATATCAGCTTCTTGATGATTTAAACTTGTGATTACTATATTTATCATTATTTAATTCTACTGTAACACTGCTCATCTCACATTAAATCTAAATATTTTTGTTTTCAAACATACTCTTAATTACAGTGCTGTTACATATACGTTATGTATACATGTAGAATATTAATCATTAATATAATGTGGCAAAATTGTTAAGAGGACAGAAAGAGAAAAAATATTCATTACATAATTCATTATGAAGAGAAAATAAAGCACTGAATTGTTTTCTGTATAATTCACACATTTTGTCTGGTATTTTACTGCGCAGTATTCTCCCACTGTGTTTTTTTTTCCAATTGATAAAAATTAATAGTTGACAGAGAAAAGTAATCAATTGATATCACAATTCAATTCTTTTCTTTTTTGCTTAAATCTTTGGATGCCACAGGAAAATTCATATCGGTCACAACGATAAGCACTAAAAGTTTCTTGGAGTGATTTGCTGTTGGTTTTTTGTTAAAGAAATTATGTTTCTGCTGTTGATGTCTTTCTGCCTTGTCCATTTGCTGCAGATGTCACGTCATTATTACTGTATGTTGCATGAGATGATGCAGGAACGTGTTCATGTACTCAGTGTCGTGAACGATGCGAAGAATCGCCACGCTCATCACGTCGATCACGTTCGCGCTCACGTTCTCTCTCACTACCTCCACCGCCTCCACCACCAGCACCGCCACGCTCAGGCTCCCTTTCGCGTTCAGCTGGCCGCCTGCTTGTTTCACGCTCACGCTCCCTTTCTCGTTCACGCTCCCTGTAGCGATCGTCATAATACCTAGACAGTACACGGTTTTTTATCTTATTTTTTTGGGGAATACATAGTTTTCTGGCTCACGAGCTTTCTCTGTGTTAATAGGTTTTTGCAATTATTTGATTTGCAGTTCAATGGTTTATCTGAAATAAGAAGATGAGTCTCATTGTTTCGAATGTTTATTAAGTTTTTTTTTTAGTTGAGTGGATGATTTCAATCTTTGATGAGCACATTTCAGATAATTGCTGTTAGAATGCCATAAGAGCTTGTTGGTAGGAAATCTCAATGAATAAATGAAAATGATCTTCTTATTTCATTCATTACAAATTTTGTTACACAATTTCTTACAAAAATTTTGTTGACATGTAAACACACAGGATGCAGTGATTCGATACTATGGCTAATAGGTACAGGAGATTGCAAAAAAATGATGAAAAAAATGGTTCATTTACAGATTAAGTAACACTCATTCGTTCTCTGTTTTTTCAACCAAGTTAATTGGATAATAAACATAATTTTCATCGCATTCAATAGATAATTGTATTTTTGTTTTTATGTAAAAAAATAGATTTACCTAGACGGCTTGGAAGATGATACCGGTGCCGCCTCGGGCGGTTCCTCTTTAACTCTCGGTCTGGCTGCTTGACGTGTTGTACTAATGGAAAATACCACGTTATGATTTTTACGATTGTCTCGCTACTTTTTCATTTATCTCTTTAATTTATCATCAATTTTTTGTCGACTAATAATTATTGATAGCACTACTCTAGCTCTGTACTCGATTCGTATTTTAATAAAAAATATTCTCTCCTTGGAAATATGAAGCATATGCAGCGGAAATGCATAATTAATCAATTAGAACCCGAATATTAATGAAAAAAATTGAAATAGTTCTTTCCTATTCATTTTAAGAAGTCGATTCTTCATTCACGTTTTGGTTTTTCTTATTTGTATATCCAAATGTTATGTAAAACATTTTTATTCTACTCTTTTTTTTGTTACATAAATAACAAGAATTTTTCAGGAAGAATAACAGAGCAAAATGGATTATTTTAAATCCTTTTTGTCCTCATATCTTTATGTCTTAAAAATCGACTATACGGTTCTCGAGTCATTGAGGGAAATCAAATGAGAAAATCAAGTCTCTTTGTTGATTAAAAAAAAATCATTCTGCCCCTCTGCCCTGTAGGTTATCTTCATACCCCGCAGTTTTACTGTATTATCTTGAACAGCTGCACTTTACAAATATTTCGCACAGTGCAGTTGTTGCATCGTCGATTCACCCTAGTGGCAGCGAATCCTTGACTATTAGGAGAGGATGAAGCAAAATAAATGTTGTAGAAGTTGAAAAATAGCCCAAAGTTATCTCAATTCCATTCTATGGATCTTGAGTAATTGACAATCAGAAAAAGCTCCATTTTGCCTCACACGCTCCTAAATAATTTCTCATAGTCTTGATTATAATCAGTATTTCGTCCAAATATATCAGTGATAACAACAACATATGTACAATATTTATAGTCGAATTTCTGCTGAAAAGTTCTCACTGGAAACAGGAAAATTAAGGAGAACATGTACATTTTTAGAGCTCGAATTTTTCGTTAGAATTTTGTTTCATTTGTCTTAATTGTTAATTGAATTTCATTCGGATGGAAATGTGAGCAAATGTGTCTCTCCGTTTCCTCGTCTTTTTCGTTCTTCCCTTTATTTTCGGTTTGATTTCACGATGAAATTTCCTCTCAAATTGAATTAATTGGATTAATTCAAATCCGTCTGATGACTTTCGGCTTTTTTGGGGGCTTACCTCTCTTCTCTGCTGCGCTCTCTGTACTCCCGGTCGCGCTCACGCTCGCGGTCTCTGTCGCGACTGCGTGATCTCTCCCTGGGGTAGGGCTCGCTGTAGTAACGCTCACGCTCACGATCCCTATCACGGTCCCTCTCTCGATCACGATCTCTGTCCCTCTCACGATCACGATCTCTACTTCTCTCTCTGTACTCCCTGTCACGACTGCGAGAGCGCTCACGACGACGACGGTGACTGCGTTCGCGGTCACGGGATCTTGAACGCTCTAGAATGAAAAAAATCAAAATCACATTTCAAATTTTTTTTTTAGATTTACTTTTTTTGCTTCCGAATGGAAGCTTTGTAATCGTTCAAATTTAAGTTTTGGATTTTTTGTATTATATCGACCCAGTATAATCCAAAAATTCAAAAAATGCAATTTTTAGACCTCGTCGTACGTGTGTGTGTGTGTGGGTACGTAGGTATCAGTTTTTCTTCAATTGTTCGTTAAAAATGAATGAATCGATGGAATTGAATCTTTTTTTTCAAATGTAGGTATTGTTGAGCCCTATCGATCCTCATTAATTGAAATTTAATTCATCGATCATCGATGAATCGATTCGATTCATCGATTTTGTATTAAACTAAAAGAGCAGAATTCTTGAAGTGAAATTTACCTCGTCTAGCAGAACCATAACTCTTCGTCTCCACACCCCTCAAAGTATCTTGTAAAGAACTGATCAGAATCTTGCAGCGATCATCGCCAGCTACTTTAGACTGCTTGATGAGGGATATCGCAGTGACAAGTGTCTCAATGGCACTTGCGTATTCCCCAGCTGCAGCGTCTGAGACTGCACGAGCTATTGCTGACGATGACACTGTTCTATTCCGATCCATGATTACTTCGAACTCCGCTTCACGGAGCTGAGGAGGTTCCTCGGGGCGGTGGTCAGGACCGGGAGCATTGTACGGCGGCTGAAACATTTTCTCCATTATTGGCGAAAATTAAATACGGTATAACTTGGAATAACTTCATTTTTCATTGTGATGGGAACGAAATCAGCAGACATTAGATTGTCAGATTATTTAGCGAAGATTTTTAAGGGGAGACTACTATGAGTTTCAAAAGTCGCTGGCGATTGAAGTGATATTTCTCATCAATTGAAGATCGATTATATATGTCTAAAAACGAGTAATTAGTGTAAAAAAATCAATTATTTATTGTTCATTTGTCCCGCACACGCTTAAAATGTAAAAAAAAAGTCCAGGGCCTCTAATTTTTGAGTTTCAAAATTTTTGAAAAAATACGTACAATAACAATTACGAATTAGTTTTTTGAAATTCGACTCCTATACAGCTGTGCAAAAATTTTGCGCCATTCATGTGAAATAGGTAAAAAAATTACTCTTAAAATATATTCCCGATTTTTTCAGAAACATTTTTAAGGCTATTTTAGGCATTGCTAAGGACTAAATTACTTTAGCCATGAGTAATGCCAGAGTAAAAAGTCAAAAGCATTTTGTGTAAAACTTTCTATGAGCAACAGAGAAGATCTCTAAATATGTAACTTTTGCATTTTCAGAATAATGAAATTGAGTATCCCTTCATCTTATTTCAATCGTCACTAATGTTCATTTAATATTTAAGTTAAATTAATTGGAGTCTGCAATCATTTCATATTCACCTGGGCAGAGGGTGGACCATAGCCATGTGGAGGAGGATGAGGTGGTCCATGAGGAGGTCCGTGAGGGGGGCCATGTGGTGGGCCATGAACCGGTCCGTGATGAGGTGGTGGTGGGCCGCCTGGATGCTGTCCTGGATGCTGATGGGGTGGACCTTGCGAGAAAAATGCAGGATTTACGTGAGGTGCTGGACCACCAGGGGGTCCAGGAGCAGGGCCTTGCTGAGGGCCCCCGTGGCCTGGCGGTGGACCGCCTTGTAACATACCGCCCATTCCTCCTGGTGGAGGTCCTCTCTGGGGTGGACCCTGGCCTGGTTGAGGTCCTTGCATGTGCTGATGTTGATTGAAACCTGGGGGTCCTTGATGAGGATGCATACCTGAATTTTTTATGTCATTACCACAAAAACATTTATTGATTTTTATCATCCTCAGACGTTACCGGTCAAAATAACACACGTAAATGTCAACACACAGATTTAATATATGCATTTTCAACAGTTGATAATTTAACATATACAAATTTACCACGTGCATAGTTGTGTGTATATTTGAAGTTTTGAGTCACCTCAATAATCCCTACTTGTGATAATAATTCAGGGATTAGTAACAGGATGATTCTCCGTATTCGACTACCGGGATCGTCGGGGTAATTGTAATTTAATGCAGATTTAACACGATTTAATAAAGATAATGTTTTTTTTACGATTATGAGAACTGAGAGTAGATTTCAAAGAAACTGTGAACTGTTGTGTAGAATGATATTATTTTGTTTTGATTAGTTTAACTGTAATTTGATATCAATTTATTGAATTTGCCGATTTACTGATTTATATATTCTCATTTATTGATGCAAAATTCAGTGCATTGTTTTTTTTTTTTTGATTTTTCATTAAATGAATTCTCATGCTAAAAGTAAATATTTATTGATTTCGAATACTGTGTTGAATTTGTTTGTGCTAACATTTACGTGTCGTTTCGCTTGCCGAGCTACCGGCGGTCGTGAGATTGGGTTTTGGGTGTTTGTGGCTGGTTGTGCCGGCGAGACTGTTGCTTTTCCGTCGATTTAATTATGTTGTTATGTTCTTGAGATTTATTACGAATGTTTTTATTATTTATATGTTTTTTTTGTGTTTTTGTCGATTTATAATAGTTTTCAAACATTAGATTGAAGTGTTGTGGACGTATTGAGGTTATGGAAATTTTTGTTGTGAACAAATGAAATTATTACAATGTTCTATTAATTTCGCTTGTGCATATTTATGTATTTGATTATATTTTTTACTGATTGGTTTTATTTGATTGGTGTCCAGAGCCTGATGAAGCTTCAATTACAAGCGAAACGTCGCGATTCGTCAATGAATTAGTACGGTTTACTGATTTTTCCAACTATCCCATAAACCACATTCTAAGTTAATTTAGTAACATGGAAATGAACAACAATATGAATTTCTGTATAGCATAGATTCAACGGTAAATGCCAAAACATGTTTGTCCCGACATTTTTCTCTACGTTCAGTAGTTGCCGAGACATCTGGCAAACCATAATCTGCATAAAAACTCAACAATGACTTTGCAGATTTGTCGTCAAATATTTCTGATACCCATCGATTCAGACAAAAATCTCTAAAGAACTTTTCTTAATTGATGACATTTTACAAAAAAAAAATCAGACATTTTTTTCGTAATTCATTAATTTTAGAGATAAAAAGGAATCGGAACCAAAATTTCAACAGGAAAATGTTCAAGTTGCATGAAACTGAAGAATTATCAAGACCAGTCCTGTTTTTCCCGTCTAAAGGTCAATTTATAAAAGTCATAATTGAAAATTGTCATCACCTGGCGGTCTATTCCATTCAGGACGAGGTGGAGCTCCTCGTGGATCACCAGGAGGTCCTGGATGTGGAGGACCTCGTGGTGGACCTTGATTTGGAGGTCCAGGTGGTCCATGGAATTGCTGCAAAACAAAAGTAATTGAAAAAATTAACACCCAAACCTAATTTTTCATCACAACTATTCAGTTATCTTATCAATAATCTCGAACTGACAAAATACTTTTTTTTGTAGGTGTTCCTTACAGAAAATATATTTCCATAATTCAGTTAAAAAGCAATGGAACTTGCCATCGGAGTAGAAACTGGATTCTGAATGTATTCGTCGTCAGACGACTATTCAGCAAAATCCAAATTCTCACACTATAGATACTAAGATTATTGATGATGTAACAATTTGGGTTTTGCTAAAAATAGTCGTCTGACGACGAAAAAACTTGCAATCCATTTTGTACTCCGATGATACGTTCCATTGCCTCTTAAGATGGCGAATTACCAAAATAATTACATGATTAATATCTTTTCAAAGACAACGTGGTGAATCATGATCAATTTTTCAATTTTTGAAAATGAATAATTCAATGGAAAATGTCACGCCACTTTGTTTGTACTGGATGAATTTCCCTCAGAAACTATCCCTTCAAATGTTCAAGTGAACCCACTCATCACTAGAATAATTGAATTGTTATGATTAACAAGTCATTCGATTTCATTGAAAGATGTTTATTCATTTTTCAAAAATTACTTTTTCGTTCCATCGGCATGGGAAATTCGGGATTTACGCGCTGATTTTGGAGCGGAAAGTGTAGTTTTTACGTGTCGCCTGAACAGGCTACGAAAAGACATATGGAGAAAAAAAGGCATCACTGACTGCAGGGTTGGGCATCTCGGACTGGAGGCAGTTTTGTACGTGACGACGTAAAAAACTGGTAATTTACCTACAGAGTGTAATAAATGTAAAAAATGTAAAAAACTCATTATTACATATAACCTTACAATTAACAAAGAGATAGTCAAATTTCAAACGTCACGAAGGTCACAAGTATTTCAAGGGGCTGATCAAATTTTACGAGCGTCAAACGACACAAAGGTCAAATTTCACGAGAGTCACATGGGCCACAAGGAGATGTTCAAATTTCGCGAGATTTAAATGTCACGAGGGTCACAAAAGGAGACAATCAAACTTCACGAGAGTATCGTATTCCTTTGTGACCCTTGTGACTCTCGCAATATTTGACCCTCTTGCGATATGCTCATTCCGTTGCACACGTTGGAAAATAACTATTGTAATACTCAACCCTCATGAAATTCAAATATTCCCTTGTACGCCCGGTGGCTTGGCACAGTGGGTAAGTTCGTTGCCTCACATGCGAAAGGTTCCGAGTTCAATTCTCGGCCGGGTAGAATGGTGCGATCTAACCATTTAAAGTCTTCATCATCATTGCAGTATACCCTAGCCGGGTCGAAGCAATGTAAAATAACGATAAAAAAAAAATATTCCCTTGTGACTCGTGACGTTTGAGCTTCTTGAAAATTTAACGATCCCTTTGTGACCTTCGTGAAAGTTTCAATATTCCCTTGTGAGCCTCATGATGTTTGACCCTTGTAAAATTTGATCGTCCCTTTGTGAGCCTCGTGACGTTTGACTCTCATGAAATTCGACCATCCTCTTGTGACCCTCGTGACGTTTGACTACCGTAAAATTTGACCATTGTAACATTTTCCCTTGTGACTCTTGAAATGTTTGACCCTTGTAAAATTTGATCGTCCCTTTGTGAGCCTCGTGACGTTTGACTCTCATGAAATTCGACCATCCTCTTGTGACCCTCGTGACGTTTGACTACCGTAAAATTTGACCATTGTAACATTTTCCCTTGTGACTCTTGAAATGTTTGACCCTTGTAAAATTTGATCGTCCCTTTGTGAGCCTCGTGACGTTTGACTCTCATGAAATTCGACCATCCTCTTGTGACCCTCGTGACGTTTGACTACCGTAAAATTTGACCATTGTAACATTTTCCCTTGTGACTCTTGAAATGTTTGACCCTTGTAAAATTTGACTCTTGTGACATTCGACCCTTGCCCCGTCGATCACGTGAAGTCCAACCATTATGACGTCTAACATAGTTAATAAGTGCTAGACAGTCTAACACTTATGATTTATATTTCAAACTTTTTTTTTCATCAGCCAACAAGTCTTGAGAAAAACGAGGAGGTTTCTCAAATACCGGCAAATGGCGACGTGTGTTGTAAAAAATGTAAAAAACTAGGTAATTTACCGGAGGTAATTTACTTTCCAACCCTGATCATCGTCATATGGTGAAGTAACTCGACTCGCTGTGATACGATTTGGTGCTACTGTTGATTATTATTCGCAACACGAATCAATTAAGCAAAAAAATGAGTTGTAGAGACAATGAATTCGACGATATTCATTTTAAGATTCGAGACATTATCAATACTTTAATTCCAAAGAAATCTACACTGCGCTACCATATAACCTACACATTTTTAAAATGGTGTGCGGACAGAAATATTGAGAAATTTACGGAAGATTGCATTCTGGTATACATAAGAGAATGTTCAAAAAATAATGCACCGACAAAGTATTGACGTTGACAAAATGCCCCATATCAAGGCGTTTTTAAGCAATACTGACAAAGGCTACTTTCCAAAGAAATCCAAAACTTTTACATGGGACAATATCCAACAATTCCTTAGTACTGCTAATGACTCAATCTACCTTTCTGCAAAAGTAAGTTGAAAACATATTTACAATATAAATCAATAACAAAGTGATAAAAAGAAATAAGTTGAAAAAATTAGATGTACATATTTTCGTAAATATCACAAAAACCATCGAATGGTTAAAAAAATGTCAAAAAAACCTTTTTCGAAACAAATTTAATTCTCTACAAAAAAGGTGTTTTGACATTTATTCGAACAATTAATAGTGTCTGAGAGAGTGACAAAAGTATTTTTGACTGGGTTTTCGACTTCTCTTTTTACCACTTCGCTTATGGAATAAATATTTACAATTTAAATATACAATCAAAATAAATATTTTGGGATAATATTTACAATTTTAAAAAATTTTCGTGTATTTACAAGTTTGTTTGATTTTGGGTATCGCTGGTTGTTTGAGGACACAGGAATTACATGGAATTAAACATCAGCATATCGAAGATGATGGACAGAATAGTGTTTTTATCGAGATTCCAGAGACAAAAACGTACAATCAACGATCTTTCGTAATTGAAGTTGAATTTCATGATATTTTCAAGCGATATAGCAATTTGAGAGCCCCAGCTACTACATCTGATAAATTTCTGGTGAATTATCGGCACGGAAAATGCACAATTCAAGTTATTGGCAAACGGAAAATTGCTCTAGTGCCCTCATTAATGGCTGCATATTTTAATTTACCAAATGAAAATGAATACACGGGGCACGCTTTGAGAAGGATACCAGCAACACTTCTTGCTGATGCAGGAGCTACTATGACAATGTTAAAACGTCATGGTGGCTGGAAATCCGCTACAGTAGCTGAAGGTTATCTAGCAGATTCGAAAGAAAATAAAAAAAGAATGTTTCCATTAATTGTCTCATCGACTGTAGAAATGCAACCTAAAAATGATGACATTGGACCTGCCACAAAAAAGTTGAAGATCTTGGACAACAATTCACGACCATCGGTACCCAAAGTTCGTGGTATACTAATGACTGATGAAAAGAATGTGCAATCTGCGAAAAAGCCGGAAACCATTACGTCTGGGAAATTCATGCGACAACAACAGCTACAAGACGACGAATTACTTACAGAAATATCAGTAAAAAACCACAATCAATCATTTATTGAACTGCCAACTAGCCTAGACTTTCCAGATGATTCAGACTGGGACTCAATCCAGGCCAATTATGAACCAACCCAAGAGCACAACGAGGAGAATTATGAACCAGCACAAGAGCACGTCAAGAAGAATTTCAATGCAATTGATCTACATAAAAACTCTAGTTTGATTAAAATGGAAAGATGTACAATTCAGAATTTCACTATCAACTACCATATTCACAAATGATATTTAAAACATGTAAAGTCAACTGTTTAAATAAAACTATCATTCTGGCAATGTTTCAACAATTACAATTCTACTGAAAAATATCTTATTTCATCATATTTTTCATTTTTTTTTGTTTTTTTCCGAATTTTCCAGACATCTAGAGCGAAAGCTGATAATAATTTCTACGTACTGCTAATGATTCAATCTAGGTTGCTCATGTTGACTTCTTATAACCTTTCACGTACGGGGTCGATGCTATGTATCGACCCATGAAAATGTGGATGACTCTCTTCAAAATTGATTAATCGAACAATGAATAATGTAGCTTCAATTATATATCGATTTTATAATTCTCCGTTAATTAGAAATCATCGCATTCCTATTGTATCGAGCGTACATCACGCTTGGAATGAAAAAGGCCCCGGCCCTGGGGGGTTAAGGTTTCAATAATTGCAAATTCTACTCAAAAAGTATCCTATTTTATCTTATTAGTCATTTTTTTGTTTCTCCCGAATTTCCCAGGCATCTGGAACGAAAAATAATATACGCATCTCGCAACAAAACGGCATCGCTTCAGGCCGTGTATTTACTCGTGTTGACTCGCCTGCGGCTCGCACCGCAAACACACGACCTGAAAAGATGCCTTTTCATCACGCTGTGACAAAAAGTGAATTTCCGCCACATTGTAATGAAAAATATTGTTCGTAACTCGTGAAAAAATGTTTTTTAGCTCGTGGGATTGTATCACTCGCCTTCGGCTCGTGATATAAACCTCCCACTCGCCAAAAAACACTTTTTTGCACTCCTTACGAAATATACTATTTCGTTGCTCGACACGTAATGTACTATTTCATGTTCAAGTAAAATGTTGATGGAGAAACATTGAAAGCAACAGTAGCTTTGACGAAGCGGAATATACAATTTTTTTTTATAATTAAGCTAATATCCAAATTGATGATTAACCTGTAAGATATATTTGAAATTTAAGCCCCGCATGACCTTATGCCATTGCCTACATTTGTTGTATCACGTTTATTCATTTCTGGGTACAGTAGACTCCCTCTCCCTGTAACAAGGGTGGAATGATCATGAATTAAGAAAAAATAATCTGAAACTATTCCGTTTGGTCTTTGTTGCAACAGCTTATGATCATTTGACGCTCGCAAGTTATGATTGTGACGTTTGACCCTCGCAAGTTATGATTGTCACGTTTGACCCTTGCGAGGTATGACCTTTGCGACGATTGAACCTCGCGAGGCATAACCTCAGTGGGTATGATTTTTTCGAATTTTTACCCTTGTAACTCTGACAGGCGGTATTCTCGGTAAAAATCTCCCGGTTCCCCAAGGTGCTAATAGATGGCGCCACATAGGTTTTTGACAGGTCAAAAAACCGACAACTCGCCCGGGTAATTTACCTACTTTATGACCGGTCAAAAACCATGTAATTTACCTAAGGTAATTTACTTGCCCAACCCTGATTCCCACTACGTGTGTGACGTCACGCATGGGTGAGAGCTCTAGAGGGGAAGTTCTATTGCCGGTCGGTGTGTTTTGCATATGCGCGACGGCATAACCTCAACATGAGTGTGGTGAAGAGAAAAAGAAAAATCACAGAAGTCGAATTACATATCAAATTGAAAGCTTTGTAAGAATTGGACGATGGATTTCCTATTGAGGTTATTGCCAACGAACTCGGTGTTTATAAAAAAACAGTGCAGGGTGGATTAAAAATAAAGAAAATCTCCACAAGTGGCAAAGTGATCATAACAAACTCGTTTTTTCATAAAAAAATCTCGTTTCGTCAAAAACATCAGAAAAATTTGGGAGTTTAAATACATAAATCACTGAAACTATGGCATTTATACCCCGATATCTTCATCACTGAGCAAAGAGGAAAGTAGAAATTATTTGTTGAGAGAGTGGGAAAAAATGAGCTTCAGGTTGGAATAAAAATTTATGCTTTTAGACACATTGATGTCGCATGATGTAAGTTCGAAAAAACGAGGTTTATTCTCACGCCCAACTCAACCCCGAATTTTTTATTGAGCCTCTCGTTATCGAGAAATGATATTATCATCAACTCAATTGCTGTTAACTAACTAACTTCCAATTGAAAGGTTTTAACACGTAATGAAGAGGTTAGAACAGTTTATGGGGCATGGTGATAGGTTCTCGCTCGAATAGTCGCGGTGTCTCTCGTAAGACACGCCTTTTACGCGTAGGGAAGAGGTAACCTCTAGCTTTCCGTTCTTGGAATTCTGTCCCCCGAAAGTGGAGAGCTAGGGAGAGTTTACTGTAGTCAATTAGGGTTAATGCATAGAAATTTTCATAAACATGAAGAAAATAATCTGTCTATTAGTTGAATGTTAATTTTTTCCAAGTGCTTACGATTTTGGATGAACATTGCAAAACCTTTGATATTGCCAATAAGACTCACCATTCCAGGGGGTCTATGCTGTCCAGGTCCAGGCCCAGGAGGTCCCTGCTGAGGAGGCCCACCATTGGGTCCCCTAGGAGGTCCTGGGGGTCCATTAGGTCTCGGTCCATTCCAGTGGCTCTGTTGATATCCAGGAGGCGGTGGTCCCTGGTTAGGATGCCCAGACATGTGATGAGGCACAGGGCCACCAGGGCCCATAGGAGGTCCATGCATCCTGGGAGGTCCCTGCTGTCCAGCATTGCCAGGTCCAGGTGGTCCCATCCCAGGAGGGGGCATCCTCTGGGGCCTGGGTCCCTGGGGTGGTCCCATCATCATCCTGGGCCCATGATTCTGCTGGGGATGCTGACTATGCGGGGGATGCTGTGGATGCTGTTGATGAGGGGGCATCGAGGACTGATGCTGATGGGGATTATGAGACTTTTGGCTCTGATTTTGCTGTGGTGCAGGGGCTGGTCGCGTCTTACACTGGGACTCAAATTGATTGAGCGCCTGTTTAGTGGGAAATGTCACCACTGGATTCTGTCCGTGCAACTCCTTCTTGGGAAGCCTCTCCATACACAATCTCATGCTACCTTCAGACCCCAACGACACAACGCAGAAGCCCTTGGACTGACCGTTGGCACGATTCTCGAAAAATTTCACTTCAACGAAATCGGTCACTCCAATACTTTGAACGGCCTCGGTAATGTCTTGGTCACTTGTCCACCAGGTCAAGTTACCAATGTACAGTTGGTGCCTTCTGCCGATTTGGTTGGGTTGAATATTGTTGCCGAGTTGGTGGTATGGAGCATTACCGTTGGTCTCCTCGTTTGTTGTGTTTGGAGTGTCAGAATCACCACCACCGCCACCACCACCACCACCACCACTGTTGTTCGTCGTCACTCCACCGTTGCCACCTGAGGGGGCAGCTATCACGTCGTCGTATAGGTCCACTCCGTCACCAGCGAATTCATCCTGGAATTTTTAAGTTTTGTATTTCAAAAATGTTAATTAATCGAAAGTGGCAAGAAACGAGGGTTTCAAGAATGGAAGTATATTGTAGCGGAAGGCGCAAAATACAACGAAAATTTTTGAGGCGATAAACAATCCAATAGTCCTTTTTTTGCGGATTTAACTCGAACAAGTGAGAAATGTATTATAGACAGTATAGTTATTTTTGCAAATAAATTAGCAATATGCTTTTGTATGGATGCACATTATTTCCTTTTATCATGTATAATTCATTGTTTATTTGATTTTAGTAAATTGAATACGATTTCCTTTTACCTAATTTGGTCAGATTTTCAACTTAGTTAAATGTTATCAACATCACTATTCTTATTATCCATTTCCTTCTATACAACCGATTGACTTTTTTACAGTTCTATCTCTCCCTCAGCCCTTCAATAAAATGTCAATAGAACAATTTTATTTGCACGTATTTGAATGAATTTGAAACATCACATTTGAAGAAACCATCAGAAAGCTCACTTTCAGGGAAATTCTTGAAAAATTCAAAATTTTCAATAATCATCGTAAAAATCAAATCAACCGATGAGGCTATCGTAATCATTTTTTAACTTCAACTTAATGGCATTAAAATAAACATTGTAAGCTATGATTGAATTCATTTTGAAGCATGATATTCAAAGTTATCCCCGGAATTTTAATTTTCAAAAAACACAATTTTTTTTTTAATTTTCGAATAAATCAAAATAACGATTATTGCTATCGTCTTCATCTTCGAAGGCGGTCAATGGGACGGCCAAACAAATTTTTGAAGCCAGCATTCAATCAATTCAGAACATTTGTTTAGTTATCGTGGGACAATCGATTTTCGAAAAAATTCAAAAATTTTAAAAACTAATCGATGAATTCAATTTCAATCAATGACGATGGGTAGGGCTCAATAATACCTACATTTGAAAAAAAAAGATTCAATTCCATCCATTCAATAGCGAACAATTGAAGAAAAACTTGACCACACACATACATACATGCGTACGGGCACGGTCTAAAAATAGCATTTTCGAACTTTTTAGATCATAATAGGTCGATATAACAAAAAAAAATCCAAAATTTAAATTTGAACGATTACAATGCTTCCATTTTGAAGCAAAAAGCAAAAAAAATCATGAAATTTGGTAAATTATTCTTCTTAAATATTTATAAACATATTTTGAATTGAATGAATATTAAGTGAAACTGAAAAAAAAATTATTCAAAACTGTTATTAACAATTTGTAATTTATCGTGGTAAGAGAATGTATTGTGATGCCTGAACTCGTGCCAAAAAATTTAGTCAACATTAGCAACAAAAAACTTGAGATATCATCGAATTTCAATTTTCGGAGCGAAGTCACGTTGCCACAATTTTCTTAACTTGAAAATATTATTCAGTTTTATCTTTGTAAAAAGATGAATGAATCGAAAGTAGCGATACAATAAATGAGTATTTGGAGGATATCCTCGGTTTTAATTCCTGTTTGGTCCCATCAAACTGAATAATAAGAATTCAATATTTCAGTATTAGTTTCAAGAATGCTTTCAGTTTCTGTCTGTTAATGTCCACGGAAAATTGAGGGGAGCATCTGGCGGGCTCCATAATCCGCTTATTAACAACAACATACTTCTTCTCGTGCCCAACAATTTGTTATCAACAACTAGAAAAATCCCCAGGGAATAGTTTCTCCATTGGAACCATATGAATATTACACTAAAAATATTTACAAGTTTGGAGAATTTTGTGGATTCCGAACTCTTTTGTTTTAATATAGAATGTGTGTCACAATTCTAAGGACGATTTCTAAATGTGAGTAGACATTTTCTTTTTTTTTGACCAACTGTAGTTAATGATTGCCTTGCACTTTAACGACTAGAAAAGTGGTCATTATCGAATGATTGGAATAATAAGTAGATGTGCGGAGAGGGGGGGGGTGCTATTTATGAGGGATTTTTCAGCTATTTTTTCAAATATTCACAAACATAATTGAAAATTTAAGAGGAATTTAAGAGTTTGACGAAAATTTTTGCATGTAAGGGAAGTCGTCTGAATGTGCTATCATGAGGACTTTTTTTATAGAAAAAATTGAGAAATACAAAGAAGGTTCTTATCGAATTTCCGTCACCTCCCTGAGATATACCGAGATGTTAATTAAAGAATCATAGCACTGAAAAACTGGAAATTTCCCCATTCCTCTTTTTAATCAATCCATATCAGTCAATTATTTCCAAAATTTCGTGAATTCAATTGGAGTGGCTAAAAGTTCAATGAGAAAGTTGTTTCACATTTGCTCCGATTGACATTAAAATTCCCAAATTATTGTTATCGACGAAGAAATTATCTGACCTAAACCCCCAGCAGCTTTGTCTGTAATTCACAAGCCTCCCTTGCCCCCAACAAAAATCCAGGTCAATTAACGACCAAATCAATGCACGAACGGAAAATATTGGAGAATTGTTTTGGAGCATTCCGACTCCATACGCAACGTAAACCCTGACATATCCCAATAATGTAAACTAGGTGCAACAATGACGGAATCCTCATGAATCGAATGGACGAGCATCAGCTCCATGTTTCTTTTTATCCCACTCACTCCCCACGAAATTCGCCAATAATCCGATCATGCACCAATCCCATTTCCTGACTGGAAAAACCCCCCAGTAACTCTCATTGTTGAAGCCTCAACGTCGCATTGCTAGTACTCAATGATTAACGCATTCGAATAACCGACAATTGTTAGCATTTTCGTAACTTGGAACGATGAAAAAAAAAGTCCCGAAAGCGGTATAGAGCCGCTTTGGAGGGCCGATCGTTATCGAGACTCCTCCATGACGCCGAACACTCGAGTCAACAATCCCGTGTTTCTATGAGCACACAGTTATCCCTATCATTTGTAAAACACGCTTTCCACATTTAGCAAAGGTTTCAGTACAATTGTATGAATTTTTTTGTTGATATTACCTGGGCAAAGTCTTGTTCAAGATCATCGGCGTACAGATCAATGTCACCGTCCGCCATTTTACGGTCACCGACGCTCACTGGCTCGACGATGAGAGCGCCAAGCCGCATGTCTGAGTTCGAGGAAAATTTTATAGAAACGGTCCTTCATAGTTTTTTGTTTACCTTTGGAAGTGGAGGGGAGCGACATCTAGGGGGTTTCAGGATTCCTAATGCACTTAAACTTCATTTCAGGGGAACAAAATGTAGACATAACTTCATTTTTTGAAAATAATCCATTTCAGTTGGAGAAGAAAAATTTTTGAGGACGGGAATCCCCTACACAATAAGATGAATGGCTTTGAAAAATAGACTTCTTCTGCATTGTTGAAGCTTTATATTGTCGCCGGGGCAATTATTATTATCTACTGTTATAAACGAATACTTCTGTATCGAAGTGAAAGAACGAAGTAAAGTTGAATATGGGCAGTTTGGTAGTTATGGAATTGTTTGGGGATTATTTCAGGATTAAATGTTGAAAACCCTTTGTTTGAAGTTGGTCATCTTTTTGGATAAAAAAGTAGTACGGAATTTTGTGTCAAAATCACTTACACGGAGAAAAAACTTATTTTTGCCAAATATGCATTTACATGCATGAAAGAACCATTTTTTTTTTCAAAATGGTATTTCTCCAATCGAGTCATTCCCAGGCAAGCCTGATTAGTTTTCAGTTATGAACATCATGTTGTTCTAGAGGATGACTATGCTGCACATGACCTTGGATGAACTCCTCCAATGATTATTAATTTTTCCTAAATTTGGTATTTTCTAGAGGGAAGAATTTTGATTAATTATTTAATGTGGTTAATTATTGAGGGAGTTCACTCAAGGTCATAACTAACATAATCATCTCCCAGAGCATTATATTATAATTGTCATAATTGAAACTTATTGAGAATTGCCTGGAAATGACTTGACTGGAGAAATACAGTACTGAAACAAGCAGGCAACCGGGCTTCCAAATGGTCTGAAATATTATAAAAGTTTATAGCTTCACAACACTAACTACCAGCAAGAATTTCCGGTGGTTACTGCCATATGGGTGCTATCAAAATTCCAATGTTTCGAATACTTCCTATGAGGGTATACATATTTTCTGTTAAAATTTCAAGTTGATATCTCGATTTTTGCACAAGCTAGAGTGTTTACAAAGTTTTTTTTTATGAAAAAACGGAAAAACGAGAATATCTCGAAAACTTTGTATGAACGGGTATATATGTTTTGATTGATTTAGATAGAAGCCCTCGAAACGAATATCTTGAAAGAAAATAAATCGAAATCGGTCCCCTAGTTTTGAAGATATTTGCGGAAAACGATTTAAAAATGAATCGCTTTTTTCAAAAATCATTAGATCGGTCGGACTGAAATTTTTCACAAAGCTAGTCCTCATTAGGACCTATAATCTGACAAAATTTCAGATTTTTTTGAATTACTTTAGCCACTTAATTACTCAATTGTGTAAAAATGGAACACCGGAAAAGTGGCGGTGGACGTGGTTACATGCAGACATGCAGACCATGATCGCTAAACTTCATATTTTTACGTTTCAGGCCATTCTACATCATTTCCAATCGAAATTAGAGAATGTGAAAATCGAAGGATTACACTGCTTCCATTCGGAAGCAAAAATAAATATTTCTCTCAAGTAAATGGATATTTGTCAAAATATTTTTTTCATCACGCCGTGACGAAAAGTGAACTTTTCGGCACGCTCCACGTGCTTAAAAGTCCAATTTCCGCCACATTGTGATGAAAATTTAGTATTCAAGTGCATTCGCAGTGAATTTTGAAATTTCATCTGTTTTTTTCCTCCTAAATGGGATTCAATGTGGCTCTCGGAAAGTATTGATAATCTCTGGAAAAAATTTCACTCTTCTTTCTAAGAGTACATTATGAATGATATTGAAGTGATTCCGAGAATTTCCATTGAAAATTTGGAATGTTTCTGAAAGATGGTAGAGATTCAGGAAAAATAATAACGCGACTTCAATAATGAACAGTATTCAATATAAAATGGAATTTTTAAAAAGTTGATCTGATAATTTTAAAGTATTGTCTAATATTGACAGAGTTTCACTCCCCAATACATCCATTTTATACTTTGTGCATTCACATAAAAAAATGATTGTTGATCATGTAAATTGGAGTGATACTGAATAACATGCAAAACTGAAGGAAACGATTGTGAAATTGACCCCTTCTCTTACTCACTATCTCTCTATATTATAGAAATCCAAATCGACTTCTGGTGATGAAAATTTAGTACTCGAAATTAAGACTCCAAAATTGAGAGTCACGAGGGTCGAAATAAGGGTCATAAGGGTCAGAATATAGGTAACGGAGGTCAGAATCAGGGTCACGAAGGTCAGATTAAGTGTCACAAAGGCCCGATTGCAGGTCATATGGATCAGATTAAGGGTTATAAGGATCACAAGAATAAATGTCATAAAGATCAGATTAAAAGTCCGAATAAGGATCACAAGTATCAGATTGAAGGTCACAAGTGTCGCAGTAAGGGTTATGGGGGTCGAAAATCAAGAGTCAGAAAGTAAAGGTCACCAGGGTCGAAATAAAGGTCACGAGGGTTATTATGAGACTCAGATTAAGGATCCAAATAAGTGTCACAAGGGTCAGAATAAGGATTAAGAGGGTCCGAATAAAGGTCATGAGGGTCAGAATAAGGGTCACGAGGGTCAGAATATTACTCTATATTATAAAAATCCAAATTGACTTCTGGTGATGAAAATGTAGAACTCGAAATTAAGGGTCGTAATAAGGGTCACAAGGGTCAGAGTAAAGGTCTAAATAAGGGTCATGGGGCTATATGGGGATCATATAAGGGTTATATTGGAGTTGGCGAGCGGAACGAGCAGGGGGCGTTGTCCCCTAGTTTACCACTAAATTGAAACCAAAATAAATAAATTCATCGATGATTTCATCGGGTTTTTAACTTTATTTTCTTTATACTAATAACTAAGCCATTAGTTTTTTTTTCCATCTTGCAGTTAAAATTCTCGTTGATTTTACATTAAAGACAAAAATACGATCTAATATTTACAAATGAGGTGTACAACGTAAGCACATTATTATTTATTTTTTAAAATCATTTTCCTGTTCTTTCTTGGGTAATAATTTCTGCGAAAAATTAGACATTGGTATTCGTTATAACAGGACACAGTATTTCTTTTGTTAATCATTATTGTAAGGAATTAATTTTTTGTTCGCCTTTGGAATTTGGTATTTATATCAATGAATTTTAATTGTTTAATTTTAATTATGTCTATTTGGATTCTTAAAAGTTCTTGAGGTCATGAACGAGTTGAGAGTATGAAATCTATCCCGCAAAAAAATATGTTCTCTTTTCATTACGTTTGTCTTTATTGGCTTTCCTTTCACTTTCACATTTTTCATTAAATCATCATTCTTGTGTCCAAATATAACGAATCAAAGTTATTCAGTTTATATCCATTATTTAAATAATAACAAACTTACAGATATATAATATATATCAGTATCCTTTATCCAGTTAATCGTAGTTTTTTTTCTCTTGAAAAGAGTCTAAAACACTTACTAATCAGTTTTTCATTTTTCGAAATATTAATTGGTTTCTATGTACAGATGAATATTGCCTAAGTGCTAATAGCGATGAAACACAAATACGTAGGTGTGTGTTTTCCTGTATTACGTACGCAAACATTGAGGCTTGGAAAATGAAAGTGTGACATGTTTTCATCTTCATCGAACCATAATTTTTCTTAAAAAAAAAAAATACAAGATTCATAGGTCAATGGTCAGCTAACTAGACATTACCGCCGAATAATCTCCTATTTGAAAAAAATAATCATTGGACAACTTAATCAGAAATTGGTAATACTTAGTTACATTGCTGGTAGAAATGAATAGAAGTTTCGTGATTCGTGTGATCTTCATTATATTATCATATAATCTCTGCACTCGGTAATTGGGTTCAACATGGACAATTTTATCTTCAATCAATCAATTAAGTTTCCTCACTTTTCTTCACTCATTCTCTCTCACTTTAATGTTTATCATGCCTCGAGTAATAAGTTTTTTATGGATAAATTTTTCATGGTACATTTATAAGTATTCCTTCTCTACACATATGCGATAGTTATGGATATCTAGATTTGGACTCAAACGGGTAGAATGTAGGCCACACTACATATACCAATGACAAATGTAAAAAAATTTTTGAATTGCGAAGGGAAAAAAATCAATAATCGCCGGATATTATCAAATCTTATCAGGTGATTAAAGCCGTAATTTATGGATGAGCATTTTGGCATTACTTTCGGGAAGCTCTGATATCCAATGAATGCTTTATGCCTTATGTTTCGAGTTTGAAAATGAACACACAGTACAAGACTTATATTGTTCAACTGTCCATGCGAGTGCATTCATTTTAGCGTAATAAAGCAATTATCCTTTCAGCTCATTAACCTTTATGAGAGATTTGACATAAACCGATGGAGCAAGTTCTATTGTTCGTTTTTTTTGTTTCAAAAGAATATTTCTTTGTTACTTTCGTTTCGATAAATTATTAATGAGGCGGCTGACAACTAAAGCGGCCTCTCCCACGTTTCCTCAAAATGTTGCCTCGATACGAACAAAGTTATGGATATAGTTTGTTCCCACCAAATTGCAGGTGTGAATTCTTGTTTTTTAAATATTTTTTTAGAGATTACGCTAATAGGACGGCCAAAACTCCTCCTAATTTTTAAATAATTCCTGCGAATCATAACAAAAGAAAATCAAATACAGATTGAAACGATGGTCAACGGATTAAACTAAATCTTTACAATCGAGATTTTTCTTCCTCTTTATTAAATGACTAAAATCCTTTTTATTTAACAATTATATTGAATTACAATCAATTACGACGAGTGATCCAGGATCCCATTAAAATCGATATTAATTCTTGTGACACGATATATCATTACAGAATCATCCCATTGGTAATGTAATAATAAATTGAATTATTTTGTACAATTTCCTTCAATTCTATCTAATAACGAATTTATCAATTGAATTTGGCTGTCGTGAAATAATTTGATTTCAACGAGTTTATTAACTTCAGCATAGCGACGAATAGATTAATGAAAATGTTGTGGACTCGTTATGGATTATGAAACTTTTGTAATTAAGGAAGAGTTAATCATTTGCATCCATCGATTACAGGAATGTTGCTTGACCCCAAACCAGTGAAAATAAATAACTTGTACGTCTGCTTATGACCAACTGCCCAGACTGTCGAGTCATCTTTGGCTGGCGCCTGGCAGATGTTGCTACTGATCGAAATCATGATTTTTAACATATTCAAAAGCATCCCACATGTACAACTCATTTTTGTCATTACAAAAAAAAAATATGCCCCCGAAAATTATGATATTATTATTTTTGGTATACAAACACCCTCGAATAAACTTCGTTGTGATTTTCTTTGACTCATCAATGATCAAATACGTTTACTTTTAAATCCATTAAGCTCATCAGATCAATTATCTCGACCAAAAAGAAAATTAACAGCAGAATAGCTCTTCTAATTATATCGATAATCATCTTAATGCAATGAGTGCTGATGTTTTTTAATAAAAAATATAAAATGCTCGTCGCACTTATCTTTTGTTTTTTTTTACGAAGAATATGCGGTTATTTAATTACATTGAAAAACGTTCTATACTTTTGTTGTTCCTTCATTAATGAACAGCTACAGTTGCTTAGAGATCATCGAAGCTGTATACAAATTTTTTATGTTTCACAGCGTGCCTAGATAATTCAATCGAATATTGTCATAAAACATCTCTTGTACCTCCAAAAGAAAGAAAATGTAGGTGCAATTGCTACCGAACACATTGACGGAAAAAAATAATTTTATCAAGAGAATTTTAATTGGACCAACTATCATTTGGTTGTTAGTTTTCAAATAAACACGATTTCATAGTGAATACTAGTTACCTCTTCTTGAGATACATTTGACTGGGAGAAATCGAACTTCTCTAGAATTGAAGTTCCTTTTATTTGTCGCAATAATGACAGTATTTGATTTTTTTCTAGCCAAAAGTTTTCCAACTCCAGAAATTCATTGGTTTACTCAAAAATAAAAATTATTCTCACGACTAAATACGTCGTTATCTCAATCAACACGATCATACGTTATTCTAAGTAAATTATAATTGAAGTCAGCATTTCGTATGTCGAATCAGGATAAATATTGTTACGCGGAAAAAGCTTTGACATTGTAGTAAGATGTCGTTGAGTTGAAAGAAGTTTATATTTTTTGACTAAAAAAATCACATTAGTTTACAATAACAGAATCGCAGCTTACGGCAATTCTACACAAACTTAGATATCACAAATTTCATTCAATGTGATGTACGGAAAGCTCAATATGAACATCGGCTTCATTCGAGAAAACAATAATATGAATTGAATATTTTCAATTCATTCCTCAATGTAATCATCTCCTAATAGGTACGAATTTTGGATCAATTCATGAAATGATTATATTAGATTTAAAAAAAATTGAACTTTTCCATTTTTGAAGTGAATACTGTGAAGTGTTACTTGCCGCCAAGGACTGTTTTATTTGATTCAAGTAAATGTATCTCAAGAAGGAATAATTGATATTCACAGTAAGATTTTATTTATTTGAAATTGGTTCAAGTATCAAACATTTTAAACATTTCAATAAGAATAATTTTTTCTATCAGTGCAGATCAATAGAACCTTTAACTATTCAATGATTCTTTCAAAGGTGATGAAACAATTCCATTCTCATACCATGTTGACACCATTCTACAAACACTTGTTAAACGCATCAATTTTTCCTCCTATTAAATCAGTAGTTTTGAAGAAACACAAATACGCCACTTTTGTTAGAGACTCATCAGCGATGTTATCTTAAAGCATTTCATTCGTGGAAACATTTTTTTGCGGGTTGTATTTTTCTTCTTTATGACCAACTTAAAAAGAGAGACAAATGAACACAATCAACAAAAGAAGATATCTAACTAGCAAATCATGTCTCAATACTCGTGAATAATGAGGCATGAAAGTATGAAAAGGTTTCTAAATACAGATCGAATGATTTATTCTTTGTTAACACGAATTGTTGAAGTATGTGCAAGCAAGTATTGTTTTTAGTAAAGAAATAAATCGGATTTAAAGTTTCTTTGTTCATTATTCTTATCATTTTATAAGAGCTTTTAAGCATTCATATAGGAGTTTTTATCGTATATCATTAGGGGAATCGTGAACTGTCTTTGAGTGGTCTTCAATAATACTTTGCGCATTTGAATCGCAGGGAGAAAACGAATAAAATGTTGCTGATATGTGTTGAAGGCCAAAGATCACGATTCATTTATTGAAAACAAATGACATGGTTTATATCATTTTTGTTTATTCATTTGAATCTATAGTTTTCGTTTAAACGTAAATTGGGAACAAGGTAACTGGGTATGAAAATTGGATATCAAGGACAAGGGGAAGGAACAGAAAATCATAAGTAATAAATAAAAAAACGTAATTGTCGAATTGTTCTCGATGAAATTACACTACACGAGGACAGTAATATATACATATTTTGCTTGATTTTTTTTCGTTATGTAGGTAAGAGATATAGTACAGTACAGTTAGTAATAGTTAGAGTATGTGTGGAATAAGCTAAAACATATCATAACGGTTCATTTAATTCCATTTCTTTGTTATCATTTTTTTGGGCGTTAATTATCTAACAAACGTTTTATCTACGAATGCTTTGTTTTCACCCGTAGCATTTGGGCATCAACTGGGACTACGAGATATATTTGCCTTTTTTATTTCCACACTATAGGCCGAATTACGAAAAAATTTGGACGGGGATAATTCATTTAAAATTTGCTTTTTCTTCATCAATTGTATTTTTTTTTGAGTTTCTCGTGGGAAGGAGTGGCGGCGATAGGGGGACGAAAAGGAGCTAACAGGGAATATATTTGAGATTTGATTTAATCATAACTACCATAAGAGATCCAATGTCCATTTCCTCAGCAATTTGTTTCTCCATCTCTTTTATACTGAATTACTAAACTCTCAAAGTGGCGTCGTAATATTACTTAATTTTTGTTTTCTTCATTTTTTTCTCTAAATTCATGATAATAAAGTCTATAGTATGAGAGTTCAACTGCGTGTCAACGTGTCTCATACCAATTTTAATATATTTATATATATTTATATATAATTTTAATAATAGTATGTATATAATATTTACTACCTGCATATCACAACATAAATTTATTCTTTTTCCATCAATCTCGCTCAAAACACATACACCCGATTTTTTTGCCATTTTTTTTCTCTTTTTTTTTCAAATCATTTTTTCTCTGAATTGGTTTACTTAATCAATCTTTTATTTGACCCAGTCTCACACACATATTCCGGTCTACAATAATTATAATAACGCTGCGATAGTTGGATAGTGATTGAGACTTTAAGCACTGTAGCATTTTGTTTTCTCGTTCTTGAGTTGTAATGTTTGTTTTCCCTTTGTCTTGTTAGTTTTATTATTCAGAGAGCATTTCTGCGCGAGGCGGGGAGAGAGAGGAGGAGAAATGAATACTACATGATATTAATTTATTATCCCTTTCATGTGCTGTTTTTGTTTGGTAATGAAATTTATTTACTTCCATCATTAAAATTATCTCGGTGAATTTTATTTGTGCGCCGCAGTCATGTACCAGGAGGCCAATGAACTTTTGAATAACAAAAGGCATTTGCAACATATTAATGCACTCATGGCGCGTCTAGCGGCACTCAGGAATACTTTTTAAAGCGCGGATGAGTAGATTTATTTTCATTATTCCACGGCTATATCTTCCATCAATTATTGAAAACAATGAGTCACACGTGGCGAAGCATTTCCCGCATTGGGCAGAAGGGACGATCCGTCGATTCGACATGTGCAAGGGGCACATTTATAATCGAAGTTTGGCTCTGACGCTAGTCTCCCTTCTATGAGTATTAGATTATCGATATTACAATGGTCATAGCTTTCTTTTAAATTGTGATAACACCACTCGACGACGCATTGAACAGCATAAAACGTTTTTTCAACAATAAAACTAACGTCTAGTAGAAAATATGCATTGGTTCAACTTCCATCTCACGTGGCGCTCATTAATTCAATTGATTTTCATTGTGTCCCCGCCACGTTAACCAGAGTACTGGTGAATTCCAGTCAGAATGCTAGGTTTTTACTATTACTCAGCTACACTGCTCATAAGATCTCAGCCACTAACGATTATACATCAGCCATAAAATCTTAGAAACCGTGGCCCAGCTTGGATTTCCCATTGTCTCATGTGTATTAATAATGACCTCGCAGTAATCCAAGGCGGCCAATGTTTAGAGTATGCAGCACGATGCTGAGCAGCAACTACTACCGCCCCCTTTACTCTTTTGTCTCTGATCTGAAACAGATTCGATTCATCGGATTAAAATTACGGATTCAGTGGTGTTAGACTGGGATTTTGTACCGGAGGAGTAGATGGGGATAAGTCCGAAACGAGTGGGTTTGGAAATAAATGTCGGGTATTAGTAGAATATTTTATAAACTACAGTAGTTTCGAGGAGAACTTTATGGGTTTAATGGGATATTCAGAGGGATAGGATATGAAATTTCCATTTCGCCAAAATATGTTTTGAAGGATGTAGAAGGATCTTACGAATAATTTCATGGAGTTTTAGGTTTAGAGAAAGATGTCGAGACTTTCTTTGTAAAAGATATTGGGGCCTGGAAAAGGGTATCTCGATATTATTGTGCATGTACTGGTTTTTTTCAATATTTGGGAAAAAAAGACTATGAAATTTTGACTCAACGAAGATTACGAAAAATGTCGAAAAATCTTTTTGTTTAGCCTTTTCTGGACTTCACGTACGATATTTAAATGCTGTCTGATGCTGAAAACTCTAGTTTTCGAGGTATTTTGAATGTAAAAGATCCTGTAAGTACGCTACACGAAGAAGATTGGGTCGACTATTTTGCCAATATCTCTGAAACTAGTAGGTTAATTTGGTAATTTTCAGAAAAATGTAACAAAGCACTTTTACGCACTTGCATCGAAATATACTATTTTGTGATGCCTGCCGAGTTCACTATTTGGAACGGTAGTGGCGGTAAAATGGTTATTTTTTGTGCACGAGTGCGTCAAGATCACGAGAACCGTTTTATGCACGCTAAACCATTTCGAAAAGTGGGCTTTTTGGAACGGTTTAGTGTGCCTACAGCGGTTGTTTTCCGTACGGCGCGCGAAAGTGTAAGAGCGTGCGTAAAGTGAATTCCGAGTGCGTAAGCGAAGTGACGCACGTGGGAGGTGTGCGAAAAATTTCACTTTACGCATAGGTGATGAAAAAAGCAGTTGCATTTTGCTCACGAAAAATCCGGATTGACGAGATATTTACGAAGAAGAATCATTTTAACCAAGGGACTTAAAATAAAGGATCCTTACCCACGTGATAATTTCGCAAGTGAGCACGACCCCTTTATTTTACCTCCCCAGGTTATAGTAATATTTATCTATAGCATCTTCTGGACTTCAAAAAATAGTATATTGTGTTACAAGTGCGTAAAGAACCACTTTTTCGCACGCACGCGTAACACATCCAATTTTTTGTAATACCTACCGAGTTCACTGTTCGGAACCGTAGTGGGGGTAAAGTGGTTGCTTTTGTGCACGGTGTGCGTAAAACAACCACTTTACACACACTAAACGGTTTCGAAAAGTGAACTTTTGAGGCAGATATTACAAAAAGATATTTTTTTTGCTGAAAGTCGTAGTTTTCAAACCAAATAATATATTAGACCACAAGGGCATGAATTTCGTTTGCGACGAATGTGAAGTTTACAGGCCGAGCCGAAGGCGAGGTCTGTACTCACTTGCGTTGAAAACTAAATTTATGCCCGAGTGGCACCGACTTGACTTCGTACGGTACGGTGTGACATAAAAGACTCTTCAATGTTGATTTCGATAGAAAGGTGTTGATGATTTAGCACATATCTCTAAAATTAATAGAGTTGAAGAATAACAGGAAAAAAAATTATTGCTCAAGAAATTCTCCACAAAATCTTCATTTTCTTCGACAAAAGCTTCTCGTATTCGACATATATTTGAAAAATTTCTGTTCGAATTTTTCAATCAATAACGATCAAGTTTTCAAGTTACAGCTGATTATTTTGCAGCTATCCTTACACCTACTTTTTTTTATATAAGAATGTCAATAGCGAGATCCCCCAAAAATTTCCTACTGAAACATCCTGCGACATTTTTTTGCTGAATCTTTCCTTTTCCCATATATTTGTAATAAAACAAGCTGCCTTCATACCTCCCATGTATCTCGGTTTCGGTCTTATCTCCATTTATCATTCCACTACTGAATTAATGTTGTTCAATCGAGATAGATTGATATTTATCACTGGATTTATGAAGGATTTGAGTGAAGGACGGCTGGGTAACTCACAGAGATAACAAGAACTTTGCAAAAATATGAGCAATATTTTAATACTGGTCTGGAGAGACATGCATATATTCGCCATGAGGAAGTATACCTGGGAAATTCAACGCACTTATTTAATTTGAGTAATCATACGAAAACCATGACAAACATACCTTGGGAATTAGGCTCGGGCAAGTTCTCCCGTGGTACCAGATGCATAACTGTTGTTTTTCCGAAAGGAAGACCAAGCGCACCGAGCGTGACATTGCTGTGCAGAAAACGTCCCTGGTAAATTAGCCGCAATATTTCTGCCTTGGCGACTGCCTCCTCCGTCCAGTCTGCAACCAATCAACATCGTAAGAATCAGAAAACTCAAATAACTCGAAAATAACACAGTTCTTCTCCCCCCAATTCTGTCTCCTCCATTTTTATCTATCTTTTCCCCTCATTTCCGTCTTGGAAAAATATATCCTATTTCATACGATGTTTCAATCCCCCTTCTATCCAACGGGCAGACGTTGCACTCGAGATAAAAGTTCACTTCAAGCCCACTGAGAAACTTCCTTGAAGAGCGTGAAAGTGCTTCCTATATGGGATACACTTGGTGGATATAATAGGCGGGGGAAAGAATAAGTAAAAATAATATTTTGTGGGAAACTTACTCTTGTGCGCCGGCAGTTGAGGTAATTAAAGATTAATGGAAATTCAGGTATTGCACGCGTGCAAGAGCGGAACGAACCGTTACATATACACGGAAAGGGAGATGATTATCTTGGTCTGAGGATTCTCAGTATTACAATTTTGGATTTTGCAATGAGTAGACAAAGGATGAGGGTATCCAAAATTATGAAAGACAGAAGAATAAGTCACGTCAGTTATACTGTTAAAATTGAGGACATCGATCCTGTCTGGAGAACCATACACTGAGAAAAAAATTACTTTCGACTAAGATCATTTCTTTGATATAAGAAAACATTCTCTTGTAAATTTCTAAAATCGTGAAATCTGCACGGAAGAAATACTTGAATTGAGTATATTTTATATCAGAATCAAGTATATACACAAACCTGATTCAAGTATATTATTCTTGATTCGAGTACATCAGTAGCGAAGTGGTAAAACAGTTTAAGTCGACATATCTCCCAGTTGAGTCTTTGGAAAATATTTCCGAATCTAATAGAGATAGCGAAATTTTCGTAATTTCATTTGTTGTAGCTCTCAATTGGCTCTACAAAAAAGTTTATAACAAAAATTTTGCTATCTTCCTTAGATTCCGAGATATTCATTGAAAACTGGGCAATAATCAAAATTGACTTGAACCGTTTTACTACTTCGTTACTGATGTAATATACTTGATTCAAGTATATTTATACTCGAATGGGGAATGGATGTTTCAATTCGAGGGTAATCATTTCGTATCAGCCCCGGTTGTACCAAGCGCTCTCAAGTGTAATATGATGCTCAGACACTAAGTGTAAGAATATAAGGGTCAAAAAGTGGAGGGTAAAAAATGAGGGTCGGAATATTAGCGTCAACTGAGTGATCTTCAAAAATTACATTTCTAAATCATTTTATGAATTTTTCTCGAAGAATAGAGTTTTGACGGTTTATAATGCATTGAAAGAACAAAAATGGTCTTCAATAAGTCTAGTGTAGATCAAAAACATCGTAAGTTAAAAATTACCGAGATAAAAAAATATCGTGCTGAACATTTGAAGAGTGTCCGGAGATGAAAACTTTTTCGCACACAGAAATTGATTTAGTTGTTCCAAAAAATTGTCATTGTCGGTGCAAACAAGAAATCTCATTTCTAGCTCTATCTACTCGTTATTCTTTACTACCGTATGTGTTTTGCTCCCGAAGAATGTTTTATGCGAGGCAAGGAAGAGTAGTTTTTCATTTTGGCTATCCAATACTTAAGGATAAGGAATGAATCATTAAATAGAATAATAATGATTATTTAGGGGCAATCCTATAATTTAATCAATCATCATTTCCACTTCCCGAGTAGAAATTTCGTCAGACAAACCTTTTGACAGAGAAGACCCTGCTCCGGTATCGATACGGTATACCTGATTACGGCATGCCAGATCAGGGCCTGAAGGGGACCATTGCATTTTCACCTTACCAATAAATTCCAAACTTTAAGCAGACATGCCTGATCATGCCCCAGTCAGGGCCTTTTGAGCCTACTGTGATAGAGAAAAATTAAAGTTACATCAGGCATGTCTGATAAGGGAAATTCCGGGGTCTTTTTCAGCCTGTTTTGATTGAACACGAGTGCTTGTTGAGTATACCTGATACGGCCAACTCGATCCGGCCATGATCAGGACAAAGTAAGGTATGCCGGGAATCCTTAACTTCGAAAATTCTATAAGTTCAATACGGCGAACCTGATCCGGCAATGATCAGGTCCGGATAAGGCATGCCGTATGGGACTTAGACAAATTTTCACCAAACAAAGAGTCGCGGTGGAAATGGTAAAGGGGGGCGGGTTGGAGGGGAGGAGGATGATGATCAGGAAAATTATACTAATTGATATTATTCTAGATTTAGTTCAATACTACAATTTTATTGGGAGTATTATTGATATACTCAAAACAAACGATGATTTTTAAGAACGATATGGACATCCTCAATGCCTTTGGACTTAACACCACCCCTGGAACTCACTCAATAACCTACGCTGATGATCTGATTGTCTACGTGACTGGGAAGAACGTGAAGAGCATTCAACCCACACTTCAAACATTAGTCAACAAGATAAATAACTACTATTCAATGTGGAACCTCCGTATGAGCCCTCTCAAGTGTGAGAATATACTAATTCGTCGACCTTGGCACGAAGTTAATAGATGTAACGTGGCTGGCATCAACTCTCTCGAGATTAAAACCTTTAAACCGGACAGCCGTGAAGAAGTAATCGTCCCAACCAAACAAACGGTCAGGTACCTTGGAGTTCATATTGACCATCTAGCCCATTGCACCAAACATGTGAACACTCAGATCGCAAAAGCATCAGCCAGGTTCCAATCACTGAGACGCCTCTTCTACAATCGGCACATAACACACCGTGCTCGCATCATTTGTTACCACCTGCTGGTACGACCTCTACTCACGTATGCATGTTCAGTGTGGTGGAACATGTCTGCATCTGCCATCGAGAGGATGAGACTGCTTGAAAAGCAATGCATCCGAGCATCCCTCAAGATATACCGATCTGCTCACTCCAACTTCCTGCACATGGTCAGTAATAAAACACTGTATGACGAGGTTAATATCCCCAGAGTGGATAATTTTATCATCAGACTCACCAGAGACTATTACTCTCAATTGAGAATAATTAAAAATGAGTTAATCAACAAGCTCAGCCACATTGACCCTGTTGAAACGAACCTGTCAGCAGGATCTGGATACCTCCAGCCTCAGGCGTTTATGCACCTTGACAGACTTGGTCTGATACAAGACGCCAACAACGTCCCAAGGCTGTACCATCTGCCCAGACACCCCTCTAACAAAAAAATCCCGCTAACTGACGACAACTACCAGTCGACCAAATTCTCCACGGCAATCCCTGAACGTGACTATCTGGATCATAGTCGTCTTAACCCCAAACTCTGATGGTTAGATGATTCAGCGAGATATCTCGCTGAACTAAGAGCGAGACTCAACAAGCATGCTGAAGATGATGCTGGCTAAAATCCAGCTTCCTCGCGAGTCTTCAAGATATGAATATAGTTAGATGGATGGCTACTCCTGTTAGCCTTGCTTTTGTAAATAGCTGTACATAGTAGTTGTTAAGTACAGTATCCTAAACTAACACTGGTGACGTGGTTTTGCTTTTGGTCAAAATTTTTCCACATTCAATACGTCAAATGACGAAATACTGTTTTTTTCTTCTGATTCACTCAACTTTCACACAAAATGTTTTTAATGTATCATTTAGCGTTCCTAAAAAATCATATTAGAATAGCGAGACGTCTCACCACAGACCACCTTTTTCACCCAATATTATTTGATAATTTTAAGGCGTTTTTTTAGGGAGTTTAACTCATGCCTGTAAAAAATGTGATTTCAAATGACCTGAATAAATAAACTCTAAAAAAAAAGGTACATAACTACTACGCGGAAGGTCCCGAGTTCAAGTCTCGCTCTGGGTGNTACCGTCGGTAAAAGAGCCCTTTTTGGGCTTGAGCAATGAAAAATTTATTCTCTATCTCATCAAAAATTATCCCAGTGAACTTGATTAATAGGAAACTTGCATGAAGCTCAATTCTTTCTAATTCCCCTATTTACACATTTTTCATAACATATGGATAGCTAAACGGCGAAAATTATAGAGAAATATTGCCTAGATGTCTTATCATAATTAATTGAAAATCAGTCGTTTTCGAGGTCAATTTTCCGGTCATGACGTCACGAAGACGGTCAGATGACGCTTCATTGGTCGAAAAAGAAGAGAGTGGGGAGTTGTCGTCCTCCATTGGCCGAGGCGCACCTCAAGATTGGGTTAAGTCGACTCGAGCCATTCTGTGATTGGTCCACCGCTCGACCGTCTGTGACATTNTGGGTGTTTTTTTTCTTTTTTTTCTCGACCCGCCTATTCTGGGACTTTATTTATTTATTTATTATTATTCAATTTTGGCCCAATTTATTAATTTGTAGCAAAGTCTATGCCAGGTAAGGGCGAAACCAGGCCGCCTGTCACGGCCCTTATCAGGTTTAGAAATCAGGTCCTGATCATGCTTTGCATTACATTTCCTATCAGGCCCTGATGTGGCAACCGTAATTTTTCTACGGCACAGCGGACCAGGGCCTGACCGGCCAAGTACTAAAATTTCTACTCGGATTGATGAAAGCTATTTTCACCCTGGAAAGACATAATTCCACGTAAATGGTCCGCTTCATGAGACAAATTATGTTCGGACCCTTCGTATGTTGTCGGAGAAAAAAGTTGATGAAAAATTACCAAACAAGTCAAGTAATCGTGGAGCAACCTCGATTTCCAGTACTTTTTCACCTTAAATAGAAGAAAAAGTGCGAGAGTAATAGTGAATTTTACTCGGTTATCCCGGGAAAATTTACTAAACGTGAGGGTGATTTGTACCGAAATNTTATTAGCGATTTCAAAGCGTTTGAAATCTTCAACTTTTAACAATTAATTATTAATTAATGAGCAATATTTCAAACCTTTGCGAATAAAGAATGAATTATTCAGGTCCCAAACTTATGATTAGAAAATTGAAAATAATTCATGCAAGTTCCCTATTGCTCGAATTTTTCGTATAATTTTTTTGTAACGGAGAATCATTTTTACCGAACCCGTTTGGTAAACATT